GTGAGTGAGGTGAAAGTGTTGAATGATGATGAAAGTATTTTCTTTTTGGGGATTTTCTGTCTTTTTGGGTCACCCTGCCTCGGAGGGAGATGGCCGACTTGTTGAAAAAAAAAAATGTATGAAAGAGGGGAAGGTACCTACTGATTGGCAGAGAGCATGTATAGTCCCTTTATATAAAGGGAAGGGGGATAAAAGAGATTGTAAAAATTATAGAGGAATACGTTTACTAAGTATACCTGGAAAAGTGTACGGTAGGGTTAAAATTGAAAGAATTAGAGGTAAGACAGAATGTAGGATTGTGGATGAGCAAGGAGGTTTTAGAGTGGGTAGGGGATGTGTAGATCAAGTGTTTACATTGAAGCATATATATGAACAGTATTTAGATAAAGGTAGGGAAGTTTTTATTGCATTTATGGATTTAGAAAAGGCATATGATAGAGTGGATAGGGGAGCAATGTGGCAGATGTTGCAAGTACATATATGGAATAGGTGGTAAGTTACTAAATGCTGTAAAGAGTTTTTATGAGGATAGTGAGGCTCAGGTTAGGGTGTGTAGAAGAGAGGGAGACTACTTCCCGGTAAAAGTAGGTCTTAGACAGGGATGTGTAATGTCACCATGGTTGTTTAATATATTTATAGATGGGGTTGTAAAAGAAGTAAATGTTAGGGTTTTCAGGAGATGGGTGGGATTAAATTATGGGGAATCAAATACAAAATGGCAATTGACACAGTTGCTTTTTGCTGATGATACTGTGCTTATGGGAGATTCTAAAGAAAAATTGCAAAGGTTAGTGGACGAGTTTGGGAGTGTGTGTAAAGGCAGAAAGTTGAAAGTGAACATAGAAAAGAGTAAGGTGATGAGGGTATCAAATGATTTAGATAAAGAAAATTTGGATATCAAATTGGGAAGGAGGAGTATGGAAGAAGTGAATGTTTTCAGATACTTGGGAGTTGACGTGTCGGCGGATGGATGTATGAAGGATGAGGTTAATCATAGAACTGATGAGGGAAAAAAGGTGAGTGGTGCATTGAGGTATATGTAGAAACACAAAACATTATCTATGGAGGCAAAGAAGGGAATGTATGAAAGTATAGTAGTACCAACACTCTTATATGGGTGTGAAGGTTGGTTTGTGAATGCAGCAGCAAGGAGGCAGTTGGAGGCAGTGGAGATGTCCTGTCTAAGGGCAATGTGTGGTGTAAATATTTTTTTTTTTATTATCACACTGGCCGATTCCCACCAAGGCAGGGTGGCCCGAAAAAGAAAAAATTTCACCATCATTCACTCCATCACTGTCTTGCCAGAAGGGTGCTTTACACTACAGTTTTTAAACTGCAACATTAACACCCCTCCTTCAGAGTGCAGGCACTGTACTTCCAATCTCCAGGATTCAAGTCCGGTCTGCCGGTTTCCCTGAACCCCTTCATAAATGTTACTTTGCTCACACTCCAACAGCACGTCAAGTATTAAAAACCACTTGTCTCCATTCACTCCTATCAAAAACGCTCACGCATGCCTGCTGGAAGTCCAAGCCCCTCGCACACAAAACCTCCTTTACCCCCTCCCTCCAACCTTTCCTAGGCCGACCCCTACCCCACCTTCCTTCCACAACAGACTGATACACTCTTGAAGTCATTCTGTTTCGCTCCATTCTCTCTACATGTCCAAACCACCTCAACAACCCTTCCTCAGCCCTCTGGACAAGTTTTGGTAATCCCGGACCTCCTCCTAACTTCCAAACTACAAATTCTCTGCATTATATTCACACCACACATTGCCGTCAGACATGACATCTCCACTGCCTCCGGCCTTCTCCTCGCTGCAACATTCATCACCCATGCTTCACACCCATATAAGAGCGTTGGTAAAACTATACTATCATACATTCCCCTCTTTGCCTCCAAGGACAAAGTTCTTTGTCTCCACAGACTCCTAAGTGCACCACTCACCTTTTTCCCCTCATCAATTCTATGATTCACCTCATCTTTCATAGACCCATCCGCTGACACATCCACTCCCAAATATCTGAATACATTCACCTTCTCCATACTCTCTCCCTCCAATCTGATATCCAATCTTTCATCACCTAATCTTTTTGTTATCCTCATTACCTTACTCTTTCCTGTATTCACTTTTAATTTTCTTCTTTTACATACCCTACCAAATTCATCCACCAATCTCTGCAACTTCTCTTCAGAATCTCCCAAGAGCACAGTGTCATCAGCAAAGAGCAACTGTGACAACTCCCACTTTATGTGTGATTCTTTATCTTTTAACTCCATGCCTCTTGCCAAGACCCTCGCATTTACTTCTCTTACAACCCCATCTATAAATATATTAAACAACCACGGTGACATCACACATCCTTGTCTAAGGCCTACTTTTACTGGGAAATAATTTCCCTCTTTCCTACATACTCTAACTTGAGCCTCACTATCCCCATAAAAACTCTTCACTGCTTTCAGTAACCTACCTCCTACACCATACACCTGCAACATCTGCCACATTGCCCCCCTATCCACCCTGTCATACGCCTTTTCCAAATCCATAAATGCCACAAAGACCTCTTTAGCCTTATGTAAATACTGTTCACTTATATGTTTCACTGTAAACACCTGGTCCACACACCCCCTACCTTTCCTAAAGCCTCCTTGTTCATCTGCTATCCTATTCTCCGTCTTACTCTTAATTCTTTCAATAATAACTCTACCATACACTTTACCAGGTATACTCAACAGACTTATCCCCCTATAATTTTTGCACTCTCTTTTATCCCCTTTGCCTTTATACAAAGGAACTATGCATGCTCTCTGCCAATCCCTAGGTACCTTACCTGCTTCCATACATTTATTAAATAATTGCACCAACCACTCCAAAACTATATCCCCACCTGCTTTTAACATTTCTATCTTTATCCCATCAATCCCGGCTGCCTTACCCCCTTTCATTTTACCTACTGCCTCACGAACTTCCCCCACACTCACAACTGGCTCTTCCTCACTCCTACAAGATGTTATTCCTCCTTGCCCTATACACGAAATCACAGCTTCCCTATCTTCATCAACATTTAACAATTCCTCGAAATATTCCCTCCATCTTCCCAATACCTCTAACTCTCCTCTCCTATTTTTAACTGACAAATCCATTTGTTCTCTAGGCTTCCTTAACTTGTTATTCTCACTCCAAAACTTTTTCTTATTTTCAACAAAATTTGTTGATAACATCTCACCCACCTCTCTCATTTGCTCTCTTTTTACATTGCTTCACCACTCTCTTAACCTCTCTCTTTTTCTCCATATACTCTTCCCTCATTGCATCACTTCTACTTTGTAAAAACTTCTCATATGCTAACTTTTTCTCCCTTACTACTCTCTTTACATCATCATTCCACCAATCGCTCCTCTTCCCTCCCGCACCCACCTTCCTGTAACCACAAACTTCTGCTGAACACTCCAACACTACATTTTTAAACCTACCCCATACCTCTTTGACCCCATTGCCTATGCTCTCATTAGCCCATCTATCCTCCAATAGCTGTTTATATCTTACCCTAACTGCCTCCTCTTTTAGTTTATAAACCTTCACCTCTCTCTTCCCTGATGCTTCTATTCTTGTTGTATCCTTGTAAATATTATGCAGAAAATTCTGAGTGTGGAAATTAGGGGAAGGTGTGGAGTTAATAAAAGTATTAGTCAGAGGGCTGAAGAGTTGTTGTTGAGGTGGTTTGGTCATTTAGAGAGAATGGATCAAAGTAGAATGACATGGAGATCATTTAAATCTGTAGGGGAAGAAAGGCAGGGTAGGGGTCATCCTCGAAAAGGTTGGAAGGAAGGGGTAAGGGAGGTTTTGTGGGCGAGGGGCTTGGACTTCCAGAAAGCGTGCATGAGCGTGTTCAATAGGAGCGAATGGAGACAAATGGTATTTGGGACCTGACGATCTGTTGGAGTGTGAGCAGGGTAATATTTAATGAGGGGATTCAGGAAACCGGTTATTTTTATATAGTCGGACTTGAGTCCTGGAAATGGGAAGTACAATGTCTGCACTCTAAAGGAAGGGTTCAGGATATTGGCAGTTTGGAGGGATATGTTGTGTATCTTTATATGTATATGCTTCTAAACTGTTGTATTCTGAGCACCTCTGCAAAAACCGTGATAATGTGTGAGTGTGGTGAAAGTGTTGAATGATGATGAAAGTATTTTCTTTTTGGGGATTTTCTTTCTTTTTGGGTCACCCTGCCTCGGTGGGAGACAGCAGACTTGTTGAAAAAAAAAAAAAAAATTACTGAAGATAAAACTTTTTAAGTGTTGTACTTTTTCAATGGCTGATCCTTAAAAGTTATATAAAAAATATTTATACCTAATAAAGAAATAATTAAATCTTCATTATTATTTTTATTTTTTTGCTACTTGCAATGCACACATATCAAGAAAGATTTACTCATCAGAAAATTTATACGTGCCATATTAAATTAGGCTTATTATGTGCAAATGTTTTTAATTTAATTTTCTGCCTGAATATGGAGCAAGAATCATTTCATGCCAATATATTTCTTTTTATTAACACATCAGCCAATTCCCACCAAGACAGGATGGCCCAAAAAGGAAAAACTTTCATCATCATTCACTCCATCACTGTCTTGCCAGAGGGGTGCTTTACACTACAGTTATAAAACTACAACAGTAACACCCTTCCTTCAGAGTGCAGACACTGTACTTCCCATCTCCAGGACTCAAGTCCAGCCTGCTGGTTTCCCCGAATCCCTTCATAAATGTTACTTAGCTCACACTCCAACAGCACGTAAAGTATTAAAAACCATTTGTCTCCATTCACTCCTATCAAATACGCTCATGCATGCTTGCTGAAAGTCCAAGCCCCTCACACACAAAACCTCCTTTACCCCGTCCCTACAACCTTTCCTCGGCCAACCCTTACCACGCCTTCCCTCCAGCCAATGTGCTGCAAATATTTCATGTAATTAAACTTTCTTTTATCAGCATACCTCTTTGCCCAATAAAGTAGTAGATGAAGCATGCGACTTGAGAGCAGCTTGTATGGTCTGAATCTGCATAGAGACAGCTGATAAAACAGCCTCTTCCAGACGGTTGAACTCATCAAAACATCCCCAGGCACCACATTTCACCAAACCAACAAATATGCGGCCCATTGATTTAACATCTATGCCTTCATCACAGTTAAATACAAGAACTTGACGTCCAAAAAGGCTACCAAGAGCTTTCACAGACTCTGTTTTACCAGTTCCAGCAGGGCCATAAGGATTTCCACCCAGTCCCATGTGCATACCCTGCAAATCAACAAACATTCCATAATGAATAACTGTATTGTATTGCAAAAATAATCTAATACAGTGGACCCCCGCATAATGATTACCTCCGAATGCGACCAATTATGTAATTGTATTTATGTAAGTGCGTTTGTACCTGTATGTTTGGGGGTCTGAAATGGACTAATCTACTTCACAATATTCCTTATGGGAACAAATTCGGTCAGTACTGGCACCTGAACATACTTCTGGAGTGAAAAAATATCGTTAACCGGGGGTCCACTGTACAATAAGGAATGTCAAAAATAAAAAAAAAAAATCATCTCAATTCAAATGAATATAACTTGTAATAATCTGCATAGTAATTGTACAATAAAGCAATAAATGATGACAAAATATACATACCTGTGTTAGTGTTAGGTAACACTTGTCAGTTAATGGTGTATGTACCAACTTGGGGGCATTGCCTTGGTATTCATATGTATAATCAAACTGAGCATCTACCATTTTCATATATGCTGATCCCTCTTCACTTATGTAGAATCTGTATCAATATAATATATTTCATGAGAAGGCTTAATAAATATATATATATATATATATATATATATATATATATATATATATATATATATATATATATATATATATATATATATATATATATATATATATATATATATATACATATACATATATACATTTTTTTTTTCCAACAAGTCGGCCGTCTCCCACCGAGGCAGGGTATATATATATATATACACCTACCATCTGACTTACGACCTGCTCGACTTACGACCACTCGACTTATGACCGTGTTTTTTATGCCAAATTTATGGGAAATAAATAACTATTTGTGTTGTACACAGTGTTTATCCTAAACCTTACAGTATAAAATACAGTACTAACAACATAAAAAGTAAAGTAAAACATGAAATACCAAAATAAAACAATAAAATAAAGTCATTACAAAATTTTTTTGTTGATATTCAGTAGTAAAGTTCAACTTACGACCATTTCGACTTACGACCGGTTTCTCGGAACCGAACTCGGTTGTAAGTCGGATGGTAGGTGTATATATTTTTGTTTTTCAACAAGTCGGCCGTCTCCCACCGAGGCAGGGTGACCCAAAGAAGAAAATCCCCAAAAAGAAAATACTTTCACCATTATTCAACACTTTCACCTCACTCACACATAATCACTGTTTTTGCAGAGGTGCTCAGAATACAACAGCTTAGAAGCATATATGAATAAAGATAGACAACATATCCCTCCAAACTGCCAATATCCCAAACCTCTCCTTTAAAGTGCAGGCATTATACTTCCCATTTCCAGGACTCAAGTCCAGCTATATAAAAATAAACAGTTTCCCTGAATCCCTTCACTAAATATTACCCTGCTCACACTCCAACAACTCGTCAGGTCCCAAATACCATTCATCTCCATTCACTCCTATCTAACATGCTCACGCACGCTTGCTGGAAGTCTAAGCCCCTCGCCCACAAAATCTCCTTTACCCCCTCCCTCCAACCTTTTCGAGGACAACCCGTACCCTGCCTTCCTTCCCCTACAGATTTATAAGCTCTCCATGTCATTCTACTTTGATCCATTCTTTCTAAATGACCAAACCACCTCAACAACCCCTCTTCAGCCCTCTGACTAATACTTTTATTAACTCCACACCTCCTAATTTCCACTCTCCGAATTTTCTGCATAATATTCACACCACACATTGCCCTTAGACAGGACATCTCCACTGCCTCCAACCACCTCCTCGCTGCAGCATTTACAACCCAAGCTTCACACCCATATAAGAGTGTTGGTACTACTACACTTTCATACATTCCCTTCTTTGCCTCCATAGACAGTTTAGATGTCACTCCAAACGGCCAATGTCCCAAACCCCTCCTTTAACACTTAAATGGTCCAAACGTATATATACGTTTTTTCAACATCTGAAAGTATGTAAAAAAAATGTAGATCTTTTTTGTTTTACATTTGAAAATGTGTAAAAAAAACTTTTATCTACTTTTTTTATGTTATATTTGAAAAATTATAAAAAAAAGTAGATCTACTTTTGTAGCACTACGAATTTGAATGTCGATCTGTTTGGACTGTTTAAGGGTTAAAGTGCAGGCATTGTACTTCCCACCTCCAAGACACAAGTCCAGCTAATCAGTTTCCTTGAATCCCTTCGCAAAATATTACCCAGCTCACACTCCAACAGCTCGTCAGTCCCAAAAACCATTTGTCTCCATTCTCTCCTATCTAACATGTTCCCACATGCCTGCTGCATGTCCAAGTTTATTTATAGTTCCAAAAATAAATGAATAAACGTTTGGGCAAACATGCAATTAATGAAGGCCATAAGGCAAAATGAAATTATCTGATAGTGAAGCCAACAACACTGCAATAAAATAAGCGCCTCACCTTAGCTGTTTTTGCCATGCCCAGTCTGCTACAGAGAGAATGTTGTTGGTTATTAGTATGTTGACAACATCAATATTATGGATGGTGTCCAAGATGAGTGCCTTCAACTTGAGCTCCAGTACTAGACTATCTGCCTTACCCTCTGGGCTTCCATCTGAACTGAGGTCTACACTGGTATATGATTCAAGTTTTGCCTTAAATGAAATAAATTATATTTTATTATTCCTGAATTTTATAGTAAAAACTAATTAAATACAGTAAACCCTCAATATAACAAATTAATAAGGAGGATTGCTCATATGTCTATTAAATCAGAATAATGTTAAAAATAACAAAAAAAAAAAGCACTAAAGTACTATGCTGTATACATAATATAGTAGTGTACAAACAATTTACAGATATACTGTAATAAACATTGACACTAAAGGAGTTAACAATACAATTTAATCAGTGGATTTTGTCCAGAGAAGCTACATATATGTCTGATAATCATAAAACAATGTATGACTATAATTAACACTTGAAAGAAAGATGCAAGTATGGATAAAAATGAAGGTTATTTCACTGAATACTGTACATAAAAATATATATCACCCAGAGGACTAATATACTTATTTAGTTAAACAATCTGAAGATAATCTGTAGGTAACACCCACAAAAGTTCAATGAGCTATAAAACAGTACACCGTTACTATGCTGTACAATTTAACAATATCGTTTCATGCCTCCAGTTCTTTCTTAAAGTTGCTAAGACGTCCTTCTTGAATAGATTCTTCACATCGTTCTGTGAAGAGGATGGCATCAGCTAGACACAGTATCTGAAAAAGATCAAGGTGTTATCTTCCACGTAACCTAACGTACAAAGACTGAGTATTAGCATCTGATTATAGTCTCCAGAAACTGAGCAGAACTGAGTGTCAAGACAATTAAAGTATTAAAGAAAACCTATCATTAGAGGACCTGTCCTAAATGGATTTTGGCAATTTTGGATAAAAAATGATGGCCAGACATACACTATCAACCAAAATGTTACAAAGACTGTAATTCTGCATTCTGTCTGAAGCAATAGTGTCCAGTTGTCTTCTGAAGTATCAGTCCAAGTCTGTTAACACCGATGTTCATCCAGTATGGATCAAAGTGGTTCGTTATTTCCTAAGCCGTAAGCCACTCATGCCAGTTTATTATTTGTTCTCACTCACACAAACATTTGTCATTCAGTCTTGAATTTTCCTTGGATTTAGAGCATTTTGTGTAACTAACATATTAAGTAAAATTCAATTAATAATGGCTTCTAAAGCAAGTCTCAGTTGCACAGTTATGTCCAAGCCCCTCGCACACAAAAACCTCCTTTACACCCTCCCTCTAACTTTTCTCAGGGCAACCCCTACCCTGCCTTCCCTCCACTACAGATTTTATCCATCCAAGTCATCCTATTTTTTCTCTATCCTCTCTAAATGTCCAAACTACCTCAACAACCCCTCCTCAGTCCTCCAATTAATACTTTTAGTAATCCTGTACCTCCTCCTCCTAATCTCCAAGCTATGAAATCTCATGCACATCTAGAAGTCTACCCATCTGCTTTTTATCTACTAATACAGTCCAACAAACAACAGTAGTCTCCCTGTATCTTAGGGAGATACGTTCCAAGACCTACTGCAGATGCCCAAAATCGTGGACAGTAGCAAGCCCCATACAGTGAAACCCCTGGTTTCAGCTGCCCTGAGAATCGACCAATTTGGGTTTTGACTGCTTTTTTCAGCAAAATTTTGTCCCGCATTTTGGCTGCTGCCCTGGGTTTCGGCCAGTGTACCAGACCTGTCCGCCTGCCCGCACTTGTGCAGGCATTGTGAGCCAGTCTAGCACTGTTTATCCTTGAGTGAACATTACCTTGTACACTCATCCTGCCAGCCAGGCAACCATCCAGGCAGCCATCCAGTCAGGCAGCCAGCCAGGCAGCCAGCCAGCCAGGCAGCCAGCCAGCCAGCCATCCAGCCAGCCAGGCAGCCAGCCAGCCATCCAGTCAGCCATCCAGCCAGCCAGCCAGGCAGGCAGCCAGCCATCCATCCATCCTTAAAGCCAGCCAGCCATCCAGCCAGCCAGCCAGGCAGCTAGCCAGCCAGCCAGCCAGCCAGGCAGCCATCCAGCCATTAATTGTGACTGTGAAATAAGCCACCATGGGCCCTGTGGTAAAGAAAGTGAGGAACACCATAGCAGTGAAGGAGGAGGTAGCAGAAAAATATGAGAGTGGCATTCGTGTGGCGGAGCTTGCCAGGATGTATGGCAAAAACCAATCAGCTATCACTTCTATCCTGCAGAAGAGAAAAGAACTCAAGGAAGCTGATGTTGCAAAAGGTGTTCTTGTGTTATCCAAAAATAGATCACAAACAGTCAAAGAGGTTGAGAAGTTGTTGGTGGTGTGGATCAACAATAAACAGATAGCGGGTGATAGTGTTTCAGAGTTGATTATTTGTGAGAAGGCAAGGCAGTTGCATGCCGATCTTATAAAAAAGATGCCTGGACCAGTGCTGATGTTAGTGAATTTAAGGCCAGGAGAGGTTGGTTTGACAGATTTAAGAAGCGTAGTGGCATACACAGTGTGGTAAGGCATGGTGAGGCAGCAAGTTCAGACAAACGTGCGGCTGAAAACTTTGTGAGTGAATTTAACCCTTTCAGGGTCGACAGGCCCTCTCAGAGACTTGTTCTCAGGGTTGCCCAAATTTCAAAAAAAAAAAAAAAAAAAAAAAAAAAAAAAAAAAATTCTTATGAAAAGATAGAGAATCTTTTCCGATCATAATGACACCAAAAGTATGAAATTTGATGGAAAGCTTATGGAATTATGCTCTCGCGAATTTAGCGGTCTCGACGATGTTTACGCATCGGCAATTTTGCCCACTTTGAGCCCTATTTTCGGCCAATTCCACTGTACTATTTGACAAAAATCATGAATATTTCGCTAGAACTCCATTTTTCTATCGAATGAGTGCAGAAACCACCCATTTACCAATTTCAACTATCCAATACAGTGGTCAGAATTTAGCAATTTTGCCAATTTCACACAAATTTCAAAAGTTGCCAATTTCCAAATAGGGTCCAGAATAAACAAGAAAGACATTCCTGGCACTAAAATGACATTTCCTCTGTTCATTAGTCACGTCCCAACGCCCCTCTTACATTCTTTTGCTTTCTACTTTGAATTTTTATTCTCACAAAAAATAGAAGATTTACTGTTATGCAGACTACTGCATTAGTGTAGAAATGGTATAAATAATATCAGCGCATTTGTGAAAGAATATTAGACTCACCAGTTGATGTGTATTGGACGCTTGGCATGATTTGTTTACTTTTGAACTTTGGTAAAAATCGAACATTTCTGCTATTTTGAGCTCAATTTCAAGGTACTTTTCATTGTAAAATCAGTCAAAATCATCTCAATTTCTGTAAAATGTCTTCCATTCTATAGAATGAGACCAGGAAAACTAGAATACAACAATAAATACCATACAAAAATACAGTGCAAAGTCGCTGTTTTAATCCAAAAACAAAGTTTTTTTTTTTCTCATTACGCACTGTGTGCTGCAGGATTTTTTTTATATTGCGCACACTGACCACATAGACCCATTCCTTCATATGTACGCCTACCAGCTTTCTCTCACTAGATTTGAGGGCACTAGAATTTAGGCATACTAGTACGTCAAAAACCCTGGTGCGTAAGCCGTACTAGTACGGCCGAAACCCTGAAAGGGTTAAGGAGTATGTAGAGACTGAAAAAATTCAAACACCAACAAGTGTTTAATTGTGACAAAACAGGCCTGTTTTGGAAGAAAATGCCAAAGAGGACCTACATTACTCAGGAGGAAAAGGCACTGCCAGGACACAAGCCTATGAAAGACAGGCTAACTCTTGTGGTGTGTGCTAATGCTAGTGGGGATTTTAAAGGGAAGCCTTTACTGGTATATCACTCAGAAAATCCCAGTGTGTTTAAGAAAAACTGTCATGAAGAATAAATTGTGTCTTGTGGAAAGCAAATAATAAGGCATGGGTCACGAGGCAAATTTTCAAAGAGTGGGTCCATGAAGTGTTTGGCCCCAGTGTGAAAAAATACCTCATGGAAAATAATTTGCCACTCAAGTGCCTCCTGGTAATGGACAATGCTCCTGCTCATCCTCCAAACTTGGAAGACCTATTGTCTAGGGACTTCAGTTTTATAACAGTTAAGTTCTTGCCTCCTAACACCATTCCTCTCATCCAGCCCATGGACCAGCAAATCATTTCTAACTTCAAAAAACTCTACACCAAAGCAGTGTTTGAAAGGTGCTTTGAAGTGACCTCAGACACTCAGTTGACCCTAAGAGAGTTCTGGGGGAAGCACCTCAGTATCCTCCACTGCATAAGCCTTATAGGTCGGACTCAAGTCCGACTATATGAAAATAACCGGTTTCCCTGAATCCCTTCACTAAATATTACCCTGCTCACACTCCAACAGATCGTCAGGTCCCAAGTATCATTCGTCTCCATTCATTCCTATCTAACACGCTCATGCACGCTTGCTGGAAGTCCAAGCCCCTTGCCCACAAAACCTCCTTTACCCCCTCTTTCAACCCTTTTGAGGACGACCCCTACCCCTCCTTCCTTCCCCTATAGATTTATATGCTTTCCAAGTCATTCTACTTTGATCCATTCTCTCTAAATGACCAAACCACCTCAACAACCCCTCTTCTGCCCTCTGACTAATGCTTTTATTAACTCCACACCTTCTCCTAATTTCCACACTCCGAATTTTCTGCATAATATTTACACCACACATTGCCCTTAGACAGGACATCTCCACTGCCTCCAACCGTCTCCTTGCTGCTGCATTTACCACCCAAGTTTCACATCCATATAAGAGTGTTGGTACTACTATATTTTCATACATTCCCTTCTTTGCCTCCATAGATAACGTTTTTTGACTCCACATATACCTCAACGCACCACTCACCTTTTTTCCCTCATCAATTCTATGATTAACCTCATCCTCCATAAACCCATCCAAAATAATAAAATAATAAAATTCAACTGATAAATTATGCATACTAAGACATTACGATGTTGATGGCTGGGGACTGTCAATAGTTGGCATAGTTTGTTTTTCAACCTTTTGGAAAAATATCATGATAAGTTGTTGTTTCTTTCTTTTCAGCTCATCAAACATCAAAGCATCTAATACTTCAATGATTATACCTGGAGTTTACCTGGAGAGGGTTTTAGGGGCCAATGCCTCCCCAGCTCAGTCTGAGATCAGGCCTCATGATGGATCAGTGTCTGATCAACCAGGCTGTTACTGCTGGCCACACGCAAACTGACGTATGAACCACAGCCCAGTTGGTCAGGGGTCATGGGTGACTTTAATGCTGCTCCCATCATAGGATCACAATTTGAAACTTATGAATCAAATATTTCTGGAATTTTCCTTTTAATATTTTGGGGCAGGTGTAAACCCGGTGGGGGTTCTACTGTATTGTCATTATGCCCTATATCATATCTCATATATTTATTTATCCTCTTTTCTTAAAATATGTATTACCTATTACCAAACTGCTTTCTATGTAAAGTTCAATTAAAAGCATCCCCTGGTCATTTACCTCTGGTACCACACTTACCTACTATGCCCTCTACAACAGTTGCTCCCACTTCAGCATTTAAGTCTCCCACCACAATTACTTTCTCAGTTCAAAACTACCTAAACATTTATTTAACATCTCAAAAAATCTCTCTCTCCTCTCCAATCCTCTCTACTCCAGGTGCATAAACCCTTAGTATAATCCACTTTTTGCATCTGACCCTTATTATAATTCACATAATCTCTGAATTTATACATTTATGTTCCCTCTCTTCCTGGTATAACTGATCCTTCAACATTATTGCTACTCCTTCCTTAACTCTAACACTCTCAGATCTCCTTGATCTAATCTCATTTATTTCTTCCCAGTGACTCTCACCTACCCCCCTTCAGCTTTGTTTTGCTTAGAGCCAGACATCCAGCTTCTTTTCATTCATAACACTGACAATCATCTCTTTCTTATTATCTGTATTGCATCCACACACACATTCAAACAACCCAACTTTAAAAAGTTTTTCTTCTTATACTTAGTAATTTACACAGGAGAAGGGGTTACTAGGCCCTTGCTCCTGGAATTTTAATTGCCTTTTACGATACACATAACTTACAGAGGAAGGATTCATTTCTACTTCCCTATGGAGATGAAAGGAAAATAAGAAAAAGAACTATTAAGAAAATATAAAAAACTCAGACAGGTGTATATACAGATATATGTACTGCTTGTGTAGTGTAACTAAGTGTTCATGAGACAGAAAGAAATCCTACCATTGTGTAAAAGAATTACAGGTTTCCATTTCACATTCATTTGGCAGGAAAGTAGTAACTCCCACAAATTAAAATTAAAATATTTTATTTTCAAACTATTATACCATACTTAAATAGAGTGTATGCAGAAATCAAAGCTTTCACAGAACAGTTTAAAAAATCCTAAAACTTCCTGTGCAGTATACAGCCAAAAGAACACAAAGATATTTCTCAAGTGACAACGATTTGCTTCATCAAATGCTAACCCTCACACCTTTCTGCTAATGTTATTTCCTCGACACTTTCATCTCAACCACTTTATCAACTCTTTCCTCTTTGCTGTATAGCATTAGATAACCCTTATGGGTTTTCCTCTTTCCTCTCTTGTGTAAAAAGTATTGACTTACCTGAGAAGGAGACTTAAGAGGATCCATTCCTGCATCAGTATGGCCTTCTTTTAAACATTCTCTCAACAGCTCTTTCAGTGTCCTCTTCATCTCCTCACTTAGCTCACTTAACCAATCCTAATAAGTGAGGAAGACAAATACTGAAATACTAAGAGGACATATGGCATCTAGTACATGACAGTTATAGTAAACCATCTTTTAACACGATAGTTACGTTCCTGAAAATGGCGTGTTAGATAAAAACCATGATAGATGAACTCAAGAACTTATGGGAAAAATAGGGTTACGTTCCTGAGAGCCCTAAAAAAGCCAAACAACTTTTTTTTAGGCCTCCACATCTTACAAAAATAAAAGTGAATATGGAATTGTAGTTCACTGTTGTGATGTATATTGTTTTTACTGGTTAAGACTACAATTGTAATGGAAATAATAGTATTTCTTACCTTAAATTGTGGGCGTTGGTGTTTGTGGATGATTGTGAAGAGAGTGGAGAGTTATGCTGTGGCCCTACTGGGCTGAGGTGGATGGTAGAGGTTCTGGTACTGGAGTGTCTAACTTTAAGTCATTCAGTCAGTCAGTCATGCTAGTAAGTCATTCAGTCAGTCAGCCAGTCAGTCAAGTCATTCAGTCAGAGAATTCATTCAGTCAGTCAAGTCATTCAGTTGTCTGTAAGTCATTCAGTCAGTCAAGTCAGTAAGTTATTTAGTCAAGTCAGTAAGTCATTCAGTCAAGTCAGCAAGTTATTTAGACAAGTCAGTAAGTCATTCTGTCAAGTCAGTAAGTCATTCAGTCAAGTCAGTAAGTCATTCAGTCAAGTCAGTAAGTCATTCAGTCAAGTCAATAAGTTATTTAGTCAAGTCAGTAAGTCAGTCACACAAACTCATGTTTACCTCTTTTTTATGTGTACAAAGTAACACTTCATTAACCTTATCTCTTGTCTAATATCTTTGTTTCCTTCATTAATTCTAAGATTTAAATCCTTATACCTTTTCTTGCCACTTTCAGTAACACTGGTATGCCTACTGGGTGTCATGGCTGCTTGGCAGATACAAAATATAGTAATCAAAAGATCAAAACACAATTCACAAACACAGTTAGCTTGTAGCAGAGAAAGATTGGACTGGACATGTATGAAATACGAATGCTGGGATGGTGGGGTGGTGTCGGGGGGTGGCAGGGGATGGCGGGAGGTCTTCCCCACTGATCCACAACAAGGCGGCTGCTTGAGGAAAAGGGAATTTTTTTTCCTTCATGCAAGCTGAACTGTTAAATTAATTTTACGACATCTTACATAAAATTGTGCCGCAATTCTTCAATCGTGCTATACCAGAATCATGCCAAATAAACTCATGCTAAATGATGGTCTACTGTATATCATTCCTCAGATAAGAAAAATTATTAGTTGTAAAGCTAGAGAAAAAAATATGGGGTATGCAATAGCACTAGATGTTACCCGTGGCAACATCTAGTGGTGTTGCATATACCAAGTATATTATGTATTTATTAAGTGCACACAAAATCTTAAGTAATGTGCAGTATAAGAAATATAATAAAGAATATAAAAGTCAAAATACCATATCAAAACTTCTTGACAATTCTGCAATATAATGCATATTACTGCAAACTCTGAGAGGTAATAAAAAATCAGACTTCACTGAACAATAAGCAAGTAGTACTTGCCTCAACTTTTGTAGTTATTTCAACAGGTCTTCTAAGAGGAACATCTTCACCTTCAAGACTCTTCATTGCCACAATGTGTGAATTGTTCTCATCAAATCTCACAAAATGGATACCAGCAAAAAGTTTCTTGAGATGACTCTGAAAAAGATGATAATTTTTAACACACAAAATTATGAAAAAGGTGAGTGGTTCACTGAGGAGTCTGTGGAGACAAAGAACATTATCCATGAAAGCAAAGAGGAGAAAGTATAGTTATACCAACACTCTTATATGGGTGTGAAGCATGGGTGGTAAATGTTGAAACAAGGAGAAGGCTGGAGGCAGTGGAAATGTCATGTCTGAGGGCAACGTGTGGTGTGAGTATAATGTAGAGAATCTGTAGTTTGAAGATGAGGAGGAGAGGTGCAGGATTACCAAAACTATTATCCAGAGAGCTGAGGAGGGGTTACCGAGATGGTTTGGACACGTTGAGAGGATGGAACAAAATGGAATGACTTCGAGAGTATAAATCTGTAGTGGAGGGAAGGTGGGGTAGGCGTCGGCCTAGGATAGGTTGGAGGGAGGGGGTAAAAGAGGTTTTGTGGGCGAGGGGCTTGGACTTCTAGCAAGCATACGTGAGCGTGTTAGACAGGAGCGAATGGAGGCGAATGGTTTTAAGGACTTGACGTGCTGTTGGAGTGTTAGCAAGGTAACATTTATGAAGGGATTCAGTGAAACCGGCAGGTTGGACTTGAGTCCTGGAGATGGGAAGTACAATGCCTGTACTCTGAAGGAGGGGTAATAATGTTGCAGTTTTATAACTGTAGTGTAAGCACGCCTCTGGCAAGACAGCGATGGAGTGAATGATGATGAAAGTTTTTCTTTTTCGGGCCACCCTGCCTTGGTGGGAAATGGCCAATGTGTTAGTAAAAAAAATAAAATTGTGAAATTAGGAAATAAACATTAGCTAATACAAATATTTATATGACTGCAGTATAAATTTTATTCTTCTTTCAACAAACAGGCCATATCCCACCGAGGCAGGGTGGCCAAAAAGCAAAATGAAATTTTCTCTATTTAAATTTAGTAATATATAGTCTTGTAGGTAGTAGGTTGGTAGACAGCAGTCCCCCAGGGAGGTACTACCGTCCTGCCAAATGAGTGTACAACGGAAACCTGTAATTGTTTTACAAGACGGTAGGATTGATGGTGTCTTTTTTCTGTCTCATAAACATGCAAGATTTCAGGTACGTCTTGCTACTTCTTCTTACACTTATGTCACACTACACATACATGCATACAAGCATATATATACACACCCCTCTGGGTTTTCTTCTATTTTCTTTCTAGTGCTTTTTTTTTTTTTTTTTTCAACAAGTCGGTCGTCTCCCACCGAGGCAGGGTGACCCAAAAAAAAGAAAGAAAATCCCCAAAAAGAAAATACTTTCATCATCATTCAACACTTTCACCACACTCACACATTATCACTGCTTTTGCAGAGGTGCTCAGAATATAACAGTTTAGAAGCATATACGTATAGAGATACACAACATATCCCTCCAAACTGCCAATATCCCAAACCCCTCCTTTAAAGTGCAGGCATTGTACTTCCCATTTCCAGGACTCAAATCCGACTATATGAAAATAACCGGTTTCCCTGAATCCCTTCACTAAATATTACCCTGCTCACACTCCAACAGATCGTCAGGTCCCAAGTATCATTCGTCTCCATTCACTCCTATCTAACACGCTCATGCACGCTTGCTGGAAGTCCAAGCCCCTCACCCACAAAACCTCCTTTACACCCCCTCCCTCCAACCCTTTCGAGGACGACCCCTACCCCTCTTTCCTTCCCCTATAGATTTATATGCTTTCCATGTCATTCTACTTTGATCCATTCTCTCTAAATGACCAAACCACCTCAACAACCCCTCTTCTGCCTCTGACTAATGCTTTTTATTAACTCCACACCTTCTCCTAATTTCCACACTCCGAATTTTCTGCATAATATTTACACCACACATTGCCCTTAGACAGGACATCTCCACTGCCTCCAACCGTCTCCTCGCTGCTGCTTTTTACCACCCAAGCTTCACACCCCATATAAGAGTGTTGGTACTACTATACTTTCATACATTCTCTTCTTTGCCTCCATAGATAACGTTTTTTGACTCCACATATACCTCAACGCACCACTCACCTTTTTTCCCTCATCAATTCTATGATTAACCTCATCCTTCATAAATCCATCCGCCGACACGTCAACTCCCAAGTATCTGAAAACATTCACTTCTTCCATACTCCTCCTCCCCAATTTGATATCCAATTTTTCTTTATCTAAATCATTTGATACCCTCATCACCTTACTCTTTCTATGTTCACTTTCAACTTCTACCTTTTACACACATTCTCAAACTCATCCACTAACCTTTGCAATTTTTCTTTAGAATCTCCCATAAGCACAGTATCATCAGCAAAAAGTAACTGTCAATTCCCATTTTGAATTTGATTCCCCATAATTTAATCCCACCCCTCTCCCGAACACCCTAGCATTTACTTCTTTTACAACCCCATCTATAAATATATTAAACAACCATGGTGACATTACACATCCCTGTCTAAGACCTACTTTTACCGGGAAGTATTCTCCCTCTCTTCTATTTCCTCTTATCTCCATGGGAAAGTAGAACAGAATTCTTCCTCCGTAAGCCATGTGTGTTGTAAGAGGCGACTAAAATGCCGGGGGCAAGGGGCTAGTAACCCCTTCTCCTGTACAAATTACTAAATTTAAAAAGAAAAACTTTTGTTTTTCTTTTTGGGCCACCCTGCCTTGGTGGGATATGGCTGGTTTGTTAAAAAAACAAAATGTAGTCTCTCTCCTTACTTAACAATGGAGTTCCGTTCCTAAGACCACATTGGTAAACGAATTTGTCACTAAGTGAGGAGCATGCTATAATGTAGTGGGTTTGCGCCATCCATCTTTGATATTGTTTTAATGTCACCTTTGCACTATTTATAACATTTTTATTATATTTTTAAATGTTTATACAGTAGTGTACTGTATATTGTAATAAACAAAACAGAGGAAATCAGCTCTAATGTTATTTAGGTATGTTTACTGGTCAGAGAGCCCATTGTAAGTCCAAGTCGTCAGTAGACGAGTATGTCGCTAAGTGAGGAGAGGCTGTACTGTGCTTTTCCCTGCCTCGGTGGGATACAGCCGGTTTGTTGACAGAAGAAGATACTGTGCTTTTGGGGGATTCTAAAAAAAAGATGCAAAGGTTAGTGAATAAGTTTGGGAGGGTGTGTAAAGGTAGAAAGTTTGAAAGTGAACATAGATAAGACTAAGGTGATGAGGGTATCAGATGAGTTAGATAAAGAAAAATTGGATATCACATTGGAGGGAGGGAGTATGGAAGAAGTGAATGTTTTCAGATATATGGGAGTTGACTTGTCAGAGGATGGGTTTATGAAGGATGAAGTAAACCATAGAACTGATGAAGGAAAAAAGGTGAGTGGTGCATTGAGGTATCTGTGGCGACAAAGAACATTATCCATGGAGGCAAAGAAGGGAATGTACGAGAGTATAGTGGTACAACACTCTTATATGGGTGTGAAGCATGGATTGTAAATGCTGCAGCGACAAAGCAGCTGGGCAGTGGAGATGTCCTGTCTAAGAGCAATGTGTGGTGTAAATATGCAGAGAATTCATAGTGTGGAAATTAGGAGGAGGTGTAGAGTTACTAAAAGTATAAGTCAGAGAGCTGAAGAGGGGCTGTTGAGGCGGTTTGACTATTTAGAGAGAATGGAACAAAGTAGTATGACTTGGAGAGCATATAAATCTATTGGGGAAGGAAGGCAGGGTTGGGGTCATCCCTGAAAAGGTTGAAGGGAGGGGGTAAAGGAAGTTTTGTGGACAAGGGGCCTGGACTTCCAACAAGCATGCGTGAGCGTGTTAGATAGGAGTGAATGGAGACGAATGGTTTTTTGGGACCTGATGAGCTGTTGGAGAGTGAGCAGGGTATATTTGTGAAGGGATTCAGGGAAACAGTTAGAGCTGGGATTGAGACATTGGAGATGGGAAGAAGGACAATGTTGCACTTTGAAGGAGGGGTTTGGGATAATGACTGTTTGGAGTGACATCTAAACTGTCGTATCTGAGTGCCTCTGCAAAGACATGATTATGTATGTATAAGGGTGGAAAGTTGTTTGAATGACAGTGAAAGTTTTTTCTTTTTTTTGGGGGGGGTTGTTCTTTTTTTTGGGTTACTCTGGCCTCAGTGGGAAACGGCCAGCCAATGTGTTTAAAAAAAATCACTCAGAATCTAAAGCAATAAACAAATACCATGGTAGTATGGAAACACACAACACAATAAAAAAAAAAAGATAAATTTAATAAACAAATAAAAAGCTACAACAAAAATATTTAAAAATAAATATTAATTATACCAGTTAAAATATCTGCATCAGTTAATAATCCGTTTATTATTATTGTCAAAAGAACTTCCCCAAAAAGTTGCCTGAGATCACACAGGTACCTTGATAATTATAAAAACCCAAGATGAGGACAGAAAGGCTCTATGAAAGCATACGGTAAAACTGTTAAAATGTGTACCAAAGGTCAGCATGCTACAAGCAGGTGATTCATGGGACTGGAAGAGAGCTGTTAGTCTGCTTCCTCTGGGGTTATATGTTTTACTTCAAGTCAGTTACTCCACTGCCCACAGTGTCCAAACAAATATATATACATTACCAAGCTGCCTTAGAAGGTCATATGTTGTATGAGTTTTTTTTTTTTGGCAGAGAGAAACTATATTAAATGCAGCTAAAAGAATACCTGAATAACTTCTGGATTTGTAGCTTGGCCCAGGATCTCCAGCAAATCATCATCACCAATAAAGTAGAAGCGAGGAAAAGCTGACCTCTTCTCTTCAAGGAATTCATTAAGGCTCTTCTGACATCTACCACAGTTAATTGCAATACAATATAAGGTTAGAAGTAATTGTGTTAACATTTTGGTTTAGTAAGCAAGTTTGAGTGATGATTAGTTGTTAGAAACTATGGTTAGTTGCTGCTTAATACTAATAATGAAACTTCAGTGTAGGAAGAAACTGTAAAAACAAGCCCAATTATTGCTGCACAAAATATGTGGAAATATATAGCCTATAAAAAAGAAATCTATATGATACTGACATCTCATTTACCCAAAGATTCCTCCCTGAAAATTTCTAAAAATTTTTACAGAATGCTATACAAATTTACTGATTAATTTTATTAAAGTAACCCTTACCACTTCGTAAAGTTGGCTTTCATTTGAATAGTGATTATCAGTGAGGTAAATAGGAAAGAAGGAGAGGCAAAGCCAAATGCAAATAGAAAAAATACTAGTACAATTATTTTATACTGTATAAAATTGGGGGTTTGTAGCTGAATGAAAAACCCTTTTCAGGAAAAAAAGGGAGCATTAAAAAACCCCAAGGACCCTTTTTCCAAACCCAAAAGGCCACAGAAGCCCAAATGGTCCTACATAACTCATCAAACAAATGCACCATATGAGGGTGGGGACCCCAACTGCACCCCTTAAATTTCCCAAATTTAAAACCCAATGTATTTTTGACACAGGTAGATTTTGAACTTGTGACTCTGAGGGAGCTGGGGGAGTTCACCGGGGAAGGGGAAAGGGGGGGAAAGAAGTTGGGAGTGATAAACTGGCCCCCCCCCAAAAAATACCCCCAAAAGTGTAACACTTTTTGGGGTTTAAAGAAAGACAACTCCAATTTCCCCCACAAAGCCTTACAGCCTTTGGGGGTGAGAATAGCAATTTTTTTGTCTCATGAACCCCCAGTTGGAGGATCAAGCCTTTTTCCACTCCTTGCACTGAATGCTCACATGGGTTTTAGCACCTTTTACATAAAAAATAATAAAGGTTAAACCGAATTATAAACTACATAAATAAAAACATAAAAAGCTCCCACTTTCCCCTTATATCCATGCAACAACTATTATTTTTTAAATTCTATGACATGCAGCACCTGCCCATAACAAAATGTTTTAACAACTTGTTGAATAAACTTTCCCCCCCACACACAACCAAAAAAGGGTCTCAACTTACCAAAAATGCCACCAAACCCCAAAATTGATTTGTATTGGAAAATTTTTAAAAAAACATTTTTCAAAGAGAAAATTTTTTTTTGCCTATGACACTATTCACACTTTTTTTTAAACCCTCCTAATGCAAAACCCCACCTATTCAAAGGCTGATAAACCCTATCCAAAAAATTATCACAGAAGTCAATGAGACAAGATATGGAACCCCCCTTTCACTGAAATTTTAAACCATAAACAGGAACACTCTCCAAAAATGAAAACCCCTTTCAGAAAAAGGGAAGAGTCCCGAGGAAAACAGTGGGACCAATGAAAAATTCTCTTTAAGAGATAAAAAATATTAAAATCAAGAAAATTTTTTTTAGAGGGAAAGAGCACAAAACCAGATGGTAACTGACAGAAAAAGAGGCATTCAGTAATACAAAAAATTTTCACTGTACTGCCACTTTCCCATAAGTAAAGGGGCCTTAAGTTAAAAACAAAAGTTAAAATATTTTTTTTAATTTTTCAAAAGTTTATGATGTTTTTTAAAAACTTAAAAAAACCAATGATACCTCTATTATAAAATCAGCTTAAAATTTACTTCTTCTTGTTACTCACCTTACTGCTGCAAAAATTTTTTAACAGAAATCTTCTATGCAAAAATTTACTTTTTTTATGTATCTTGCAGAAAACCAACCATACCAATGATTTATAACTCCCAATGTTTTATCCCATGTGCCCAGTATTTTACTTTTTTTAAAATATGCTTTCCATTTCGAGTTACCAATTTTAAATTTAAAAGGGGTTTCTTGGGAAAATGAACCCCCATGTAAGTCGGGGAGTGCCCATATTCTCATTTAAAAACAATTTTTAAGACGGGAAATTTTAAATTCTTTTAAATTTTTCATTTTTTAAATTCTGAGCAAAATGCTGTGAGCAAAAAAGTACGTAGGGGCCCTTTACAAAACAGCTCATTATTTTTTAAACACTTACCTTGTAGTTGATCAAGAAGAGTAACCAACGTGTTTGTATGCCATTGATCGGCGGGGGAAAAACCACTTTGTTGTCTTTTCCCACATCTGACTTAATGTTTTGAAGTCATCATCTACCTCCAAAAACGACCTTGCTAATTGGGTAAGGACCTCTGAAAAAAAAGGGGCCCGATACACCCATTTACGCTGTAGTTAAAAAACAAAACACAAAAAAAAAACCCAAAAACAAAGAAAATTTATTTAAAACTTTTTGAGGGGGGGTTTAAAAAAAAAAAGAAATAAAAATTAACACGGGTATTTATTTTTCCAAAATCAGCCTCCTTGCCGGTCCCATTCCTCATCCCCCTTTATCTCCCTAGGGAAATTTGGATAAGGGATCAACAACATTAAATCCCCAAAAGGGAACCCAAAAAAACCCGGGAAAAAAGCTGCAGTCAAAAATGTTTAACAAATTCCCCACCCCCGGCAGCATACCCACCAACATTCAAAAATCAAAAACTGCTCACCCGTAAAGAACATCTATACTTTTCTTGTGCCTACTACACAAAAAAACCTCAATTCCAAACTTTCCTCACCAACCTTAACAGGGGCACACGACCATAAAAACGGGGAAAAGTTTACTTTTTATTTTACCCCATGTCCGTAAACACCCCTGTGTAACACCCCTTTTTACTAAAAAGGGCCCCCCAAAATTTTGGGAATTTATTATCTTTTAAAAAACTAAAAATAACCCCGTTGAAAATCAATTTAAGGGTTTTCAAAAAACCCCCCTACCACCCCTGAAAAAATACTCAAAACTCCAAAATTTAACTTTAAAAAAAAATCTCCCCAAATTTCCTAAAAACGGGAAAACTTACAAACTACATTACTTAAACTTTCCCACATTATAGTAAAATACCTACAATACTGCCTTAACCCAGTTGTAGCATTCTCAACGTTAAAAATACTTTTAACCACTCACCCAAGTTTTATTCCCCTAATATAATTTTAAAAACTGTTTTTTTACTATTAATACAAAACTTTACAACATACTTTTTAATTTGTCCCAATGTAATAAACCCCCAATTGAAATTTTTGAAAAAATTACTCCCTACTAAAAATGAAACAGTGTAAAACTCAAACTATGATAAATTTTTTCCTAGTATTAAGAGTCTGAAAGCCTTAACTTTAGCTCCCTAAAATCCCGGGGCGGGTAGTGGCCTCTTTGCACTACAACTCATTATTTGAAATTCAAATTAATGTACTCTTGCAAGGAAATAAAAATTTGTATTTGTATAGAAAAGGGCAAAGTGATACAAGTAACAAAAAAGTCAAGGCAATGAAAAACTAAATATTAGATTAGATTATGTAGGTAATGGATGTATCTAGATATTTAGGAGAAGACATGTCAGCAGATGGTGTGGTGTCCTGTCGCCTGGTGGCTAAGCTCTTGCTTTACACGGTGAGGGTCTGTGTTCGATTCCCAGTTAGGGTAGAAACATTGAGAGTGTTTCTTTACACCGGTTGTCTATGTTCACCCATCAGTAAAATGAGTACCTGGGAGTTAGTCGGCTGGTGTGGGTCGCATCCTGGAACAAAACTGACCTAATTTTCCTGAAATGCTCTACATAACAAGCAGCTTTCTATATAGTAGTATGCCATTGATGTCAGCTAGGCCTGTATACCATGTATATGTACATACTTGTAGTGGATAAAAATATTATTATTATGAAAAATAAGGGAATAAAAGAACAGATGAGGAAGGAGGGGTAAGGGGGTAGGATAAGTGGTATATTGAGGCATCTACGGAAAGAAAGGATTTCTGTAGAGGCAAAGGAAGGACTTTGCCAGAAAAAAATAGGACCAATACTTCGGTATGGTTGCGAGGAAAGGGCTCTGAACATTGCAGTGAGGAGACAGCCAGAGGCAGTGGAGATATCATGTCTGAGAGCAATGTGTGGTGTGAGTATTATGCAGAGAATTAGGAGCACAGAACTCAGACTATGGTGTGACATTACCAAAGATATAATTTTGAGGGCCAAGGAGGGGATTACCTGGGAGTTAGTCGGCTGGTGTGGGTCACATCCTGGAACAAAACTGACCTAATTTTCCTGAAATGCTCTGCATAACAAGCAGCTTTCTACATAGTAGTATGCCATTGATGTCAGCTAGGCCTGTATACCACGTATATGTACGTACTTGTAGTGAATAAAATTATTATTATTATGAAAAATAAGGGAATCCAAGAACAGATGAGGGAGGGTGGGGTAGGATAAGTGGTATGTTGAGGCATCTATGGAAAGAAAGGATTTCTGTAGAGGCAAAGGAAGGACTGTACCAGAAAAAAATAGGACCAACACTTCGGTATGGTTGCGAGGAATGGGCTCTGAATGTTGCAGTGAGGAGACAGCCAGAGGCAGTGGAGATATCATGTTTGAGAGCAATGTGTGGTGTGAATATTATGCAGAGAATTAGGAGCACAGAACTCAGACTATGGTGTGACATTACCAAAGATATAATTTTGAGGGCCAAGGAGGGGATTACAATGCTAAGAACCTGTACCCTTGGAGAATCCTCATGTGAACATTAATATTTTCTTCGCCTACTATACCAATTTATTCTTAATCAACTGTTAAAATTCTTTACTTGTATCTGATTCAGGTTGGTAAGATACTCGTCCAGGTCAGCTAGACGCTGTTCCCATACTCTAGCACGATCTGCAAATGCTGCAAAATATGCCGAGTCTTTCAAGGACTGCAACAGACTTTGATTGTCTCCAACCTGTCAAATAATCATTATTTAATGATATACAATAGTGACAAGTAGATGTAAAACAAATCAGCCTGTTACACATGTTTCTTACTCATCTACCTGTCAAATAATGTTAATGTTACTAAATGCTAAAATGTTACTTATTACTAATTGAGAATAAGATGGATCACTAAAAAAATGAAGCATTAATTTCAATACTACTATAAATTAAATAATGAGAAAATTAAATAATGTGAAAAATTAAATATGGCCTCTCCTCACTTAACGATGGAGTTCCATTCCTAAGACCACGCCAGTACACGAATTCATCGCTGAGCGAGGAGCATAATATAATGGTAGTGAGTTTGTGTCAACCATCTTTGATATTGTTTTAATGTCACCTTTGCACCATTTATAACTTTTTTAGCATATTTTTAAATGTTTATGCAGTAGCGTACTGTATATTATAATAACCAAAACAGAAAAAATCAGTTCTAATATTATTTAGGTATGCATGCTGGTCAGAGAGCCCGTCGTAAGTCCGAGTTGTTGGTAAACAAGTACATTGCTAAGTGAGGAGAGGCTGTAATGAGAAAGTAAGTGACTATATTTGTAGGTAAAATATATATAAGTACAAAAATAGGAATTCCACACAGTTATTAAAAGATTTATAAGTCAACTGAAATTTTTTCTCTCATAAATTATGGTATTTCAAAATTAACAGGTAATCACAAGGCCAACCTAAATCTTAAATTTACATTTAAGTTCAAAATGAAGAAATAAAGAATTAAAGAAAAGACAGGTGCAGTGTAATCTTTTATTGTAATAATTTTTGGCTTAGTGTAGTCAATAAAAGCTCAACACAATGAAACATTGTCTCAATAAAAACTTACTGTGAACCTGTTTCTTTTCTTTATTACTATCAGAAGTAAGCCTTTTTATAAAAATAAAGTCTTGAACATACATGGGCATGGAAGAGAATGCTAATTTTTAAAAACACAAAGAAATTCCTGGTCTAGATGATTAATTGTATAGAAATGTATAAGAAAGCAAACTTTTTTGATACAAATGTATAAGAAAGCAAACTTTTTTGTATACAAATGTATAATAAGCAAACTTTTTAAAGTGATGGAAGCTTACATAAAATAAAATTTATTCAATTATGAACTAAATTGGGAGAAACCTTATCTTTAAAAGACTGGAAAAATAAAAGCTTAAAATAACCATTTTATACACATCCATCAAATGTCTTTCCTGAAAACATCGTACTGAGAGCTTAACAATAGTTTCACAATTGAACACTCACACGATACGACAATAATTATTTTTTAACCTTGTTGATGATATCCTTCCATTCTTTGATGAGCATAATTTGATGTCCAGTTGAGTCGATATGAGGAACAATAGTAAAGTGAGCATCAACCTCCCACACATCCAGTTCTCCTAATGCTTGTCGGATAACAATCTCACCCGTTGCTTTGGCATTCATTTCCTTTAATGCCTCACCATGTTGTATCAAATTATCACGTACCTATTGATAAAATATAAGACCAAAAAATATTATTTCTAATGGCATTGAATAAAAGCTAGATAATGAATCAATAACAAAATGATGCAAGAGGAAGGCCCCATGATAATAAGTTATAACTCCAGAATATGCAAATTTATGTACACCCAACTCCCTAACATCACGGGATACATATCAGAAAATGTAACAAAGATGGATTTCATGATGACCGGGATGAACATTGATGAAAGAGGAGTTATGTTCCAGCTTCCCCTACCCAGAGACAGGTCTATATGTAATTATAAATAATGAACCTGGATACCCATCAGTTGCATAACCCAGGGCAGCATGGGTTTAGAGCAGGTTGCTCCTGCCTCTCACAACTACTGGACCACTATGACATGGTCTTGGATGCACTGGAGGACAATCAAAATGCAGATGTAGTATACACAGACTTTGCAAAAGTCTTTGAAAAGTGTGATCATGGTATGATAGCACACAAAATGCATGATAAAGGAATAACAGGAAAAGTAGGTAGATGGATTCGTAGCTTCCTAACAAACATAATACAAAGAGTAATAGTAAACAAAGTCAGTGGTGGCTACAGTGAAAAGTTCTGTTCCACAAGGTACAGTACTCGCTCCCCTCCTTTTCCTCATCCTCATATCTGATATAGACAGATTAAGTCACAGCACTGTGTCTTCTTTTGCTGATGATACCAAAATTTATGTGACAGTGTCATCCACTGAGGACACTGCAAATCTCCACGCAGACATTAACCAAGTCTTTAATTTGCTTCAGAAAACAATATAAAGTTCAATAAAGACAAATTTCAATGACTCCATTATGGAAAACTTGAGGAAATAAAAACTGGATTGGAGTATAAAACGAATTCCAACCACATAATACTGCGAAAAACTAACATGAAGGACCTGGGAGTGATAATGTCAGAGAATCTCACTCTCAGAGATCACAACAATGTATCTACCACATCAGCTAGGAAAACGAAAGGATGGATAATGAGAACCTTCAAAACTAGGGATGCCAAGCCAATGATGATTCTTTTTAAATCGCTTGTTCTCTCTAGGCTGGAATATTGCTGTACACTAATGGCCCCTTTCAAGGCAGGTGAAATTGCAGACCTGGAGAATATACAGTATGCTAAGAGACAACACAATAAGTGTCACAGCCCAAGACTGTTCAAACTGCCTCCTAGCATACATGAAGGGGAATACCAACAGACCCCTGGCTGTCTTCAAGAGGGAGCTGGTCAGATACCTAAAGTTAATATCTGACCAGCCAGGCTGTGGTTCATACGTTGGTTTGCATGTGGCCAGCAGTAACAGCCTGGTTGATCAGGCGGGGGCACTGATCCTCAGAACACCCTCCAGGTATACTCCAGGTACAGTGCTCATCATGGCATTATGCCGGGTGAGCGCCCGGCATAATGCCATGACGAAATCCAATGGCCTACCATACAGGGGAAGGGGTCTTTTATCGTCAGTGCATTCTGCTGGGTAGCAGCCATTAGCATGACGGCACGGCCTGCCGCCACACAGTTACTCTCTAACTGCTTTCTTAACACAGTTAAGGTACGAACAGATGTCTTCTTCGAGGGGCCAGGCTGAGGTTTGGCAGACAGTAACTTGACACCACCACCAGCCTTGAAATGCTGCACCCAGTTCCTCACTGAACGTTCACACACATTAACATTCTCCACTACTTCTTTCATCGGGTGCCCAGCTCTGTGAAGCCCTATGATTTGAGCTATGGTTTCAGGTGTTAAAGACTTCCTTTTACCCATAATCAAACATGTAAAGCCCCAAAACCAAAGGGAACACCGGACAAAAGATGGGGTGGATGAAAGACAACAGTGCAACACTTCCTCTCACCACGGCAGCCACATGAGCAATGAGAAGTCACTGTGAAGTGTTGAGGCAGGCCAAGACATCATGCTTACAGCTGCTACCCAGCAGAATGCACTGACGGAAAAAGACCCCCTGTATGGTAGGCCTTTGATTTTCGTCACGGCATTATGCCAGGGTGCTCACCCGGCATAATGCTGTGATGAGCACTGTATCTTTTATGTTGTGAGCGTACATCTTGTACTTCATTCCTCCAGACATTTGTTATGGCCTATTTCTCATAACCTTTTTTCATAGCTCATACCCCTCAGTTTAGGCCTCACGGTGATTCTTTGTACTTTCTCAAGATTCATTTTTTTTAGAAGGGAAATATTCCATATTAATGCTGCCTTCTGACACAGAGGCTGCACAAACGAGGTTAAGTACACTTTAAACTAATCTTTGTTGAGGTTCTAAGGGGAACTCCTACGTTTACAAACTTAACCTGCGCTGCTGATGTTATTGTGTTATTTGCACATCAGGGGGCAAAGTTTGAGGTAAAGGTAATTCCAAGATTTTTTTCTATAGCGGATTCTGAGAATTTTTTTTCCTTTTCCATATTTCCCAGCTACATAACTTTATAGGTAGTAGGTTGGTACACAGCAACCACCCAGGGAAGTATTACCGTCCTGCCAGATGACTGTGAAACAGAAACCTGTAACTGTTTTGCATGATGGTAGGATTGCTGGTTTCTTTTTCTGTCTCATAAACACGCTAGATAACAGGGATATCTTGCTACTCCTACTTACACTTTGGTCACACTTCACAGACACGCACATGCATATATATAATACATACATCTAGGTTTTTCCCCTTTTTATAAATAGCTCTTGTTCTTCTTTATTTCTTCTATTGTTCATGGGGAAGTGGAAAAGAATCTTTCCTCCGTAAGCCATGAGTGTTGTATGAGGCGACTAAAATGCCAGGAGCAATGGGCTAGTAACCCCTTCTCCTGTAGACATTTACTAAAAAAGAGAAAAAGAAAAACTTTATAAAACTGGGATGCTTGAATGTGCGTGGATGTAGTGCGGATGACAAGAAACAGATGATTGCTGATGTTATGAATGAAAAGAAGTTGGATGTCCTGGCCCTAAGCGAAACAAAGCTGAAGGGGGTAGGGGAGTTTCGGTGGGGGAAATAAATGGGATTAAATCTGGAGTATCTGAGAGAGTTAGAGCAAAGGAAGGGGTAGCAGTAATGTTGAATGATCAGTTATGGAAGGAGAAAAGAGAATATGAATGTGTAAATTCAAGAATTATGTGGATTAAAATAAGGTTGGATGCGAGAAGTGGGTCATAATAAGCGTGTATGCACCTGGAGAAGAGAGGAATGCAGAGGAGGGAGAGAGAGATTTTGGGAGATGTTAAGTGAATGTATAAGAGCCTTTGAACCAAGTGAGAGAGTAATTGTGGTAGGGGACCTGAATGCTAAAGTAGGAGAAACTTTTAGAGAGGGTGTGGTAGGTAAGTTTGGGGTGCCAGGTGTAAATGATAATGGGAGCCCTTTGATTGAACTTTGTATAGAAAGGGGTGTAGTTAGAGGTAATACATATTTTAAGAAGAAGAGGATAAATAAGTATACAAGATATGATGTAGGGCGAAATGACAGTAGTTTGTTGGATTATGTATTGGTAGATAAAAGACTGTTGAGTAGACTTCAGGATGTACATGTTTATAGAGGGGCCACAGATATATCAGATCACTTTTTAGTTGTACCTACACAGAGAGTAAAAGGTAGATGGGATACAAGGAGAATAGAAGCATCAAGGAAGAGAGAGGTGAAGGTTTATAAACTAAAAGAGGAGGCAGTTAGGGTAAGATATAAACAGCTATTGGAGGATAGATGGGCTAATGAGAGCATAGGCAATGGGGTCGAAGAGGTATGGGGTAGGTTTAAAAATGTAGTGTTAGAGTGTTCAGCAGAAGTTTGTGGTTACAGGAAAGTGGGTGCGGGAGGGAAGAGGAGCGATTGGTGGAATGATGATGTAAAGAGAGTAGTAAGGGAGAAAAAGTTAGCATATGAGAAGTTTTTACAAAGTAGAAGTGATGCAAGGAGGGAAGAGTATATGGAGAAAAAGAGAGAGGTTAAGAGAGTGGTGAAGCAATGTAAAAAGAGAGCAAATGAGAAAATGATGAGATGTTATCAACAAATTTTGTTGAAAATAAGAAAAAGTTTTGGAGTGAGATTAACAAGTTAAGAAAGCCTAGAGAACAAATGGATTTGTCAGTTAAAAATACGAGAGGAAGAGTTATTAAATGGAGAGATAGAGGTATTGGGAAGATGGAGGGAATATTTTGAGGAATTGTTAAATGTTGATGAAGATAGGGAAGCTGTGATTTCGTGTATAGGGCAAGGAGAATAACATCTTGTAGGAGTGAGAAGAGCCAGTTGTGAGTGTGGGGGAAGTTCGTGAGGCAGTAGGTAAAATGAAAGGGGGTAAGGCAGCCGGGATTGATGGGATAAAGATAGAAATGTTAAAAGCAGGTGGGGATATAGTTTTGGAGTGGTTGGTGCAATTATTTAATAAATGTATGGAAGAGAGTAAGGTACCTAGGGATTGGCAGAGAGCATGCATAGTTCCTTTGTATAAAGGCAAAGGGGATAAAAGAGAGTGCAAAATTATAGGGGGATAAGTCTGTTGAGTATACCTGGTAAAGTGTATGGTAGAGTTATTATTGAAAGAATTAAGAGTAAGACGGAGAATAGGATAGCAGATGAACAAGGAGGCTTTAGGAAAGGTAGGGGGTTGTGGACCAGGTGTTTACAGTGAAACATATAAGTGACAGTATTTAGATAAGGCTAAAGAGGTCTTTGTGGCATTTATGGATTTAGAAAAAGCGTATGACAGGGTGGATGGGGGGGTAATGTGGCAGATGTTGCAGGTGTATGGTGTAGGAGGTAGGTTACTGAAAGCAGTGAAGAGTTTTTACAAGGATAGTGAGGCTCAAGTTAGAGTATGTAGGAAAGAGGGAAATTATTTCCCAGAAAAAGTAGGCCTTAGACAAGGATGTGTGATGTCACCATGGTTGTTTAATATATTTATAGATGGGGTTGTAAGAGAAGTAAATGTGAGGGTCTTGGCAAGAGGCGTGGAGTTAAAAGATAAAGAATCACACATAAAGTGGGAGTTGTCACAGTTGCTCTTTGCTGATGACACTGTGCTCTTGGGAGATTCTGAAGAGAAGTTGCAGAGATTGGTGGATGAATTTGGTAGGGTGTGCAAAAGAAGAAAATTGAAAGTGAATACAGGAAAGAGTAAGGTTATGAGGATAACAAAAAGATTAGGTGATGAAAGATTGGATATCAGATTGGAGGGAGAGAGTATGGAGGAGGTGAACGTATTCAGATATTTGGGAGTGGACGTGTCAGCGGATGGGTCTATGAAAGATGAGGTGAATCATAGAATTGATGAGGGGAAAAGGGTGAGTGGTGCACTTAGGAGTCTGTGGAGACAAAGAACTTTGTCCTTGGAGGCAAAGAGGGGAATGTATGAGAGTATAGTTTTACCAACGCTCTTATATGGGTGTGAAGCATGGGTGATGAATGTTGCAGCGAGGAGAAGGCTGGAGGCAGTGGAGATGTCATGTCTGAGGGCAATGTGTGGTGTGAATATAATGCAGAGAATTCGTAGTTTGGAAGTTAGGAGGAGGTGCGGGATTACCAAAACTGTTGTCCAGAGGGCTGAGGAAGGGTTGTTGAGGTGGTTTGGACATGTAGAGAGAATGGAGCAAAACAGAATGACTTCAAGAGTGTATCAGTCTGTAGCGGAAGGAAGGCGGGGTAGGGGTCGGCCTAGGAAAGGTTGGAGGGAGGGGGCAAAGGAGGTTTTGTGTGCGAGGGGCTTGGACTTCCAGCAGGCATGCGTGAGCGTGTTTGATAGGAGTGAATGGAGACAAATGGTTTTTAATACTTGACGTGCTGTTGGAGTGTGAGCAAAGTAACACTTATGAAGGGGTTCAGGGAAACCGGCAGGCCGGACTTGAGTCCTGGAGATGGGAAGTACAGTGCCTGCACTCTGAAGGAGGGGTGTTAATGTTACAGTTTAAAAACTGTAGTGTAAAACACCCTTCTGGCAAGACAGTGATTGAGTGAATGATGGTGAAAGTTTTTCTTTTTCGGGCCACCCTGCCTTGGTGGGAGTCGGCCAGTGTGATAAAAAAAAAAAAAATAACTTTGCTTTTAATTTGTTTGAAATTCAGTAACCAAACACTTCTCAGGTATATTTGAATATTCTTGCAGTGTTCCTTCATCCTCTTTGCTCTGTATTCTCATTATGGTATCAATCACATTCACATTAATCCCTCCAGAGTTTTCATGCAAAGAATGAGGCTCAGGTTAGTGTATGTAAAAGAGAGGGGGACTGATTTCTAGTAAGAGTAAGCCTAAGAAAAGATGTGTATATCACCATGGTTGGTTAATATATTTGCAGATGAGTTTTAAAAGAAGTGAATGCTAGGGTGTTAGGGATAGGTGTGGGATTAAAGGACAATGAATTTGATGCAGTTGCTCTTTGCTGATGAAAAAATTCTTTTCGGAGACTGAAGACAAATTACAATGGCTGGTAAATGAATTTGGGATGATGTGTAAGCATGTTAGATAGGAATGAGTGGAGACAAATGGTTTTTGGGACCTGACAAACTGTTGGAGTATGAGCAAGGTAATAATGTGTGAAAGGATTCAGGAAAAACAGGTAGCCAGACTTGAGTCTTGGAGGAGGGAAGTACAGTGCTTGTATTCAAAAGGAGGGGTTTAGGATGTTTGCTGTTTGAAAAGACATCTGAACTGTTGTATCTGTGTACCTCTGGCAAGGCAGTGATAGTGTGAACGATGGTGAAAGTTTTATTTTTTTTTTTCAGGTCACCCTCTCTTATTGAGAGAAAGCAAGAGTGTTAAAAAAACAATTAAAAGTGTATATAGAAAGGAGCAGGGAAATAAGAGTAACAAAAAGTCTAGGTAATGAATGATCGGGTATTAGACTGCAGGGATAGAAAATTCAAATGGCTGAGGAGGGGCTGTTTAGATAGTTTGGGCATTTAAAGAGAATGGGACAAAATAGGATGACCAAGAGGGTGGATAAATCTGGGCTGGAAGGAAAGAAAGGTGCCATCTCAGGAAGTGTTGGAGGAAGGAGTAGAGGAGGGTTTGAGTGTTATGGAGTTCAGCATCCTGCAAGCTTGTGTGAACATGTTAGATAGAAGTGACTGGAGCCAAGTGGTTTTTATGACTTGATGTGCTGCTGAAGTGTGAGCGAGGTAAAATTAATAAATTAATTCAGAGCAACCAGTCAAGTGGACTTGAGTCCTGTAGGTGGGAAGTATAATGCTTGTACTCTCTGATCACAGGTTCTATCCCTGCCCATGGTATGGTGTCGTGGGGGTTCGGTAGGAGATATGATGGATAAGGTAAACTCACTTGTTGGATGGTAACGATATGTATTGTCAGACTGTGGTAAGGAAGGGATGGGCCCAGCCTGCCGTGTTACTGCCTGGATGTCTAAGCGCGGAGTGAGGACGAGGCAGCGCCTCTCACTCACTCATGCTGTATCCCGTGACGTCATACAGTCACAGGCCTAGGGATCTTCTATATAAAGCACATGGATGGTACTATAATGCCCAGTTAATCTATACAACACATGTAAGGGGATTCAGCAACTATACTGACAATGGTTTGGTCATCTGAATTGTGATGTCTCCTCATTTCTAACAAGACAACTATTAAATCAATTATGGTGAATGTATTCTATTTTTTTGGGGTGGGGAGAAGAGGGGGGAGGGGGAAGGGGTAACACTACCATGGTAGGAGATGGCCAGTGTATTTCGATTAACAAATCTTCCTTTTATCCCAGCTTGCTTACCTAATTTGCTAAGTTGCCTTCTGTGTGGCACCATACAGAAAGTCTTCATAAACTCTAGAAATACAGTGGACCCTCGAGTTTTGGCAGCCTCGACTTTCATGAAATTCGACCTTCAGCGAGTTTTTTTGGCAAAATTTGGCCTCGAGTTTCATGATTAGACTCGTGTTTCGGCGACCGTCCAGTACCCGTCCGCCCATCACCGTGCACACCAAGCCAGTCTCCCGCGCCATTCACGCTCAGTGTGCCATTGTTTACCAACACGTGACCATCACCCCGTGGGTTCATACAATACATTTCATAATAATCCATTGTTTTTTGTGCTTGCAACTGCTAAATAAGTCATCATGGACCCAAGGAAAGCTAGTGCAAGCCTTTGGTAAATAAAGTGAGGAACACGATCCAGAGGGATTTTGAAGGGTTTGAGGCAGACCCTGTCCCTGCCAACCCTCTGCCTGTTGTGGAACGTGTTGTGGCATTGGGCAAGTCCATGGGGTTGGATGCGAGTGACAGGGATGTGGAAGAGTTGGTGGAGGACCACAGGGAAGAGCTACCCACTGATGAACTGCAAGAGCTTCAACTGGAACAGTATCAGGCCACAGCCGAGGAACTTGCTTCAGAGGAGGAGGAAAAGAGAGTGAAGGAGGTTCCTTCTTCAGTGATTAAGGACATGTGTGGAATGTGGAATGAGTTGCAAAGTTTTGTTGAAAAATATCACCCTTACCAAGCTGAAACAAGCCATATCTGCAACATGTACAATGACAGTGTTGTGTCCCACTTCAAGGAAATCTTAAAGAAACGCCAGAAAAAGACTTTTCTGGACAGATATTTTGTGCGACAGGGGTCCAGTGACTCTCAAGTTGTTCCCAGTGGCATTAAAAGAAGAAGGGAAGTAACCCTAGATAAGGACTTGCTACCTAAAGTCCTAATGGAAGGAGATTCTCCTTCCAAACAATAGTGTACACCTTCCTCCTATCCCCTCTTCCCATCTTCCATCCACCCAGAAGTCTTCAGTAAAGGTAAGTGTAATGTTGTTATTATTATTTTTTATATGCATGTACTTCATTTCTCATTGATTTCAGTATATAAATCTTTATTTAATTTAAAAAAAAAAATATTTTATTTTAATATTTTTGAGTGTCTGGAACGGATTAATTTTATTTCCATTATTTCTTATGGGGAAAATGGTTTCGAGTTTCGGGAATTTCGACTTTCGGCAGGCTCTCTGGAACGGATTAATCACGAAACTCGGGGGTCCACTGTACATAATCCACATATCCCATTAATCAAATAATCTGTCAATATTAATCAAATAATTTGTCTCTAGTACTGGTAATTAAAATATTTTAATTAATAAGTTAATTTTTTACCTTTAAGAAGTGTCCAAAGGTGAGTTTATCTACTGTAACATTGGTGGGTATCCCAAGTAGGCTATACATTTCAATCCAGTGCTTTTCTGAAAATACTTCCCCTCTTACATATTTCAGCAATGGTATTACTGCTTTGTACTTTTCAATTTCATGAATGAGGCGCACGGTGACTGGGGTTGTCTCTGCAGATGATCGTAGTTTCTCACCTACAACACAAAATACAAAAATTACCAAAAATGTGTGCAAAATAGAATATAAAGTCAATTCTAGCTTGATAAGGGAGTGGTAATGCATTAATTATTTTTTTTTTTTAACAAGTTGGCCGTTTCCCACCGAGGCAGGGTGACCCAAAAAGAAAGAAAATCCCCAAAAAGAAAATACTTTCATCATTATTCAACTCTTTCACCTCACTCACACATAATCACTGTTATACAAATTATTATAGTGCACACAAAATTATTTTTAGGCCATATGGGTGTGAAGCATGGGTGATGAATGTTGCAGTGAGGAGAAGGCTGGAGGCAGTGGAGATGTCATGTCTGAGGGCAATGTGTGGTGTGAATATAATGCAGAGAATTCGTAGTTTGGAAGTTAGGAGGAGGTGCGGGATTACCAAAACTGTTGCCCAGAGGGCTGAGGAAGGGTTGTTGAGGTGGTTTGGACATGTAGAGAGAATGGAGCGAAACAGAGTGACTTCAAGAGTGTATCAATCTGTAGTGGAAGGAAGGCGGGGTAGGGGTCGGCCTAGGAAAGGTTGGAGGGAGGGGGTAAAGGAGGTTTTGTGTGCGAGGGGCTTGGACCTCCAGCAGGCATGCGTGAGCGTGTTTGATAGGAGTAAATGGAAACAAATGGTTTTTAATACTTGACGTGCTGTTGGAGTGTGAGCAAAGTAACATTTATGAAGGGGTTCAGGGAAACCGGCAGGCCGGACTTGAGTCCTGGAGGTGGGAAGTACAGTGCCTGCACTCTGAAGGAGGGGTGTTAATGTTGCAGTTTAAAAACTGTAGTGTAAAGCACCCTTCTGGCAAGACAGTGACGGAGTGAATGATGGTGAAAGTTTTTCTTCTTTGGGCCACCCTGCCTTGGTGGGAATCGGCCAGTGTGATAATAAAAAAAAAAAAATGAGGAGCAGTTTTTAAAGACAGGTGGAAGAAGTTGAATAACTTTTCAATATTTCAAAAGATAAAACAATAATGCTTGACTTTACACTATATTACTCAGAATTTTAGACTTACTCCAGCTATTGAGGAACTCCTCAAATTTATATGTTTTACTTCTAAAAACAATCCATTCTTCATTAGAAAATTCTTGCATACTAGTGTTGAACTCGTCAAATAAACCCCAAATTTGCTCATGCTTTACTAAGTCAGCTTCAATGTCATCAATCTCTGGGAAGAATGGCTCCCCCATGTTAAAGTGTTCATAGTCCTTCCTGCAAAACAATACAATTTTACTTTAATAAAGTTAAAGGAGGAATCATGCAAGATTCTATCAGTCACCTTACAGGCACTAAGTGGTAACATCAGCCCCTACACTACCCAGCATAAACAATTCCAGACTGTTGCCACAAATCACATTTTTATAGGATTCTCAATGCCAAAGGGTGAAATATAGCAATTGATCATGTGACCCCTACACTATGGTAAGAGAAGTGAAACAAACATGAAAATTCCACAAGTAGTTCTACAAATAAATTACTGCAGGAGGTTGTAAAAGCAAATATTGCTTATATTTTATCTGCTATGACATGGCCAAGCAACAATTTGCAATAAAATAATTACTTGTTTCATGAAAACCAATATATACTGTACTCCTAAAAACAAAATGCACATTTCATCACAAATAATTTATTTGCTACTATTGTGTACTGTATTAAGTGATGTTACAATTTTTTTTAAATGTATCTAAAGATTTCAGATTGAAATTTTAAGATGGCAGCTTACTGACAGTTTGTTAATATTCAGAGAAACTTCTTAAAACATTTTGTTTATCTCCTTCTCATTACACATAATCAATCACTGTTGCTATTCTACCGTTGCAAGAAAAGATGTAAAATTATTGAACAGCTCCAGTAAAACTATCAGTAAACTACAGTCTTGCAGTCTTACATTTTTTTACTTTCCACCTTTTAATGGCCAAGTGAAGCTGCAAGAATTCAATAAACTCCAGTAAAGGAAATGGGAGAAAAAAAAATGCAGTTACAGACTGGGACTAAAATACCTACATTTCAATCTAGATAAGGCTCAAGTCTTGCACTTACTTCAGGCTGTCTCGAGTCTCCATAAGCTGGTCCCACTCTAAACGTTTCTCTGCTACAAAAGCAATGGCCTCCTGCAAGTGGTCTCCATCACCTTCCAACTGATCCTCACGAGGACGAAGCTGAAACCATCTCATTCCAAATTTCTCTACCTCACTGTTGAAGTTATTAGTTTGGCTCTCCAGATTCCCTTTAATTGCTTCAATCTATGATGAATAATATGACAAATCATTAACAATAAAATTAAAAATCATCAAAGTAACATGACTGACTACTTCTTAACACCCTAAACAATGTATCAAATGCTCAAATGTTTCACAATTTTCAATTGAGGATCAGTTTTTTTAGCCTATATATAATTTTCATTATAAAATGTAACCCCATCAGCTTAACATCCTTCCTTAAGCATTTTCATCTCTTAATCAAATCATTAAGGAATTTTAGTTATACTGTATTAAATTTTTTCTCATAACATTTAATTCCTCCTACATGTTCATACTTCCCTCAGGACCTCAGTCATATCCCAAGGTGAATGAAAATTTTGTACAGGTGTGTGTGAGCATGTTAGACAGAAGTGAGTGAAGGCAAGTGGTTTTATGACTCAATGTGCTGTTAGTGTACAAAAACAAAGTTACATTTATGAATGGATTCAGGAGAAACTGGTTAGCTTGACCTGAGTCTTGAAGGTGGGAAGTACAGTGTCTGCACTCTGGATGAGTAGGGATATTATGATTTGGAGGGGCATCTGAGCTGAAATATCAGCACGTCTCTGGTAAGACAGTGATAAGGGTGAGTGATGATGAAAGTGGGAGATAGATGGTGTTAAAAACAAAACAAATAATAATAATAATACCACCACCAACAACAACAATAGTTTTCAACTGAGATATCTCCTGCCAAGGCAGGGTGACCCAAAAAAAAAAAAAAAAAAAAAAAAACACATTCATCAATACTCATTCAAGTGTCATCTTTCTAGAGGTATGCTGATATTGCAAGCAAATTATTCCTCTGACCATAACATCTCCACCTCTCCTTCAGAGTGCAGGCGCTGCCCTTCACACTTCCAGGACTCAAGTCCGGCAAACCAGTTTCCTGAATCATAATAATTTGGGATTCTGTCATTCTTGATTGCCTGTTGTTTAAAGAAATTCACAAGTACTCACACACCAAGTAGTAATAAAGATGAGGATGAAATATTACAGTTTATGTTTCATTACTTATGATAGGTAATAATGTACCAAATGTAATGAATAGTAGCTATACACTGTGTATAGAGTCACTATACATGGACAGATAATTGTCAATATGTAAACTACATTACCTGCTTTGCAACAATTTGCTCATGATTATCCATTAAGGTTTTATAGTTGTCCCACTGCATGGTGACACGAGACACCTGCTCCACTCTTTCTTTTGTCCAGCTAGCTAAGGTCTTATTCTTACGCTCTGCCTCATTAAACAGTTCTACCATCTCTTCAGTTAACTTTGCATATTCAGTATGCTTCTGGCTGGCAGTTGCAATCTCTTCTACAGTTTGTGGTTGTTTTTTGAGGACCTGCAATATATGAATTGTGTTGTAATAAAATGAATGAAGAATATATATCCAGGAAAAATTTGAACTAACTCAGCTTTTATCACAGGAGTCAAAAAATTTCAACTTATTTCATCTGTTGCTATGTACAGTACACATTACTGATCAAAGGAGGGCTACCCAGAGTTCCTTGCTTTTCAAAATGAAAAATAATGAAAATGTAATTTTAAATAAAAGAATAAACATAAAATATAACTACATTATTTTCTAGAAGGTACATAAATCTTACAAATGTACAGTATGGAAGAGGGTAAGGTACCTAGGGATTGGCAGAGAGCATGCATAGTTCCTTTGTATAAAGGCAAAGGGGATAAAAGAGAGTGCAAAAATTATAGGGGGATAAGTCTGCTAAGTATACCTGGTAAAGTGTATGGTAGAGTTATTATTGAAAGAATTAAGAGTAAGACGGAGAATAGGATAGCAGATGAACAAGGAGGCTTTAGGAAAGGTAGGGGGTGTGTGGACCAGGTGTTTACAGTGAAACATATAAGTGAACAGTATTTAGATAAGGCTAAAGAGGTCTTTGTGGCATTTATGGATTTGGAAAAGGCGTATGACAGGGTGGATAGGGGGGCAATGTGCAGATGTTGCAGGTGTATGGTGTAGGAGGTAGGTTACTGAAAGCAGTGAAGAGTTTTTTACGAGGATAGTGAGACTCAAGTTAGAGTATGTAGGAAAGAGGGAAATTATTTCCCAGTAAAAGTAGGCCTTAGACAAGGATGTGTGATGTCACCATGGTTGTTTAATATATTTATAGATGGGTTGTAAGAGAAGTAAATGCGAGGGTCTTGGCAAGAGGCGTGGAGTTAAAAGATAAAGAATCACACATAAAGTGGGAGTTGTCACAGTTGCTCTTTGCTGATGACACTGTGCTCTTGGGAGATTCTGAAGAGAAGTTGCAGAGATTGGTGGATGAATTTGGTAGGGTGTGCAAAAGAAGAAAATTGAAAGTGAATACAGGAAAGATTTAAGGTTATGAGGATAACAAAAAGATTAGGTGATGAAAGATTGGATATCAGATTGGAGGGAGAGAGTATGGAGGAGGTGAATGTATTCAGATATTTGGGAGTGGATGTGTCAGCGGATGGGTCTATGAAAGATGAGGTGAATCATAGAATTGATGAGGGGGAAAAGGGTGAGTGGTGCACTTAGGAGTCTGTGGAGACAAAGAACTTTGTCCTTGGAGGCAAAGAGGGGAATGTATGAGAGTATAGTTTTAACCAACGCTCTTATATGGGTGTGAAGCATGGGTGATGAATGTTGCAGCGAGGAGAAGGCTGGAGGCAGTGGAGATGTCATGTCTGAGAGCAATGTGTGGTGTGAATATAATGCAGAGAATTCGTATTTGGAAGTTAGGAGGAGGTGCGGGATTACCAAAACTGTTGTCCAGGGGCTGAGGAAGGGTTGTTGAGGTGGTTCGGACATGTGGAGAGAATGGAGCGAAACAGAATAACTTCAAGAGTGTATCAGTCTGTAGTGGAAGGGAGGCGGGGTAGGGGTTGGCCTAGGAAAGGTTGGAGGGAGGGGGTAAAGGAGGTTTTGTGTGCGAGGGGCTTGGACTTCCAGCAGGCATGCGTGAGCATGTTTGATAGGAGTGAATGGAGACAAATGGTTTTTAATACTTGACGTGCTGTTGGAGTGTGAGCAAAGTAACATTTACGAAGGGGTTCAGGGAAACCGGCAGGCCGGACTTGAGTCCTGGAGATGGGAAGTACAGTGCCTGCACTCTGAAGGAGGGGTGTTAATGTTGCAGTATAAAAACTGTAGTGTAAAGCACCCTTCTGGCAAGACAGTGATGGAGTGAATGATGGTGAAAGTTTTTCTTTTTCGGGCCACCCTGCCTTGGTGGGAATCGGCCAGTGTGATAATAAAATAATTAACTGTTTGTTTATTCCCAACATATAAAAGTCCATAACTGCAAAGCATTTTGGAAAAGTGCCATTTTATTTTGCCAATCATTTATACAGAAATGTAAGTAAATAATATTACAATAAACTTGAACAATAACTTATAGTGCCTCAGGACAATACCCTTAAGAACATAACACTAATGAACATATAAATAGATTTTTTTTAACACACCAGCTGTTTCCCACCAAGGCAGGGTGACCCAAAAAGAAGGAAAAGCCCAAAAAGAAAGAAAAATACTTTCATCATCATTCAACACTTTCACCATCACTCATGCATAATCACTGTCTTTGCAGAGGTGCTCAGACACAACAGTTTAGAAGTCCCTCCAAACTGCCAATATCCCAAACCCTTCCTTTAAAGTACAGGCAGGCATTGTACTTCCCATTTCCAGGACTCAACTCCGGCTAAATAGATGACATCACTTATTCAATTACTGTACTAAAGGAGATCCTAGATATTAACTATGTAACAGAAAAATAATTATCACAATACAGGTCAACAATCACTAATCTGGCATCATTGGGACATGTAGGGTGCTGGATTAGTGATTTTGCCAGATCACAGAGTGGGTAGGTTAGAATACACTTAATCCAACAGCTAACCTCCTCTTCCTAACTTTTAAATACCCCATAAATCAGTACAAGTTGGTTAATAATGTTAACCAACTTGATTTACACAATAAAGTTCATCACTGCCGCTTCCAATGTGAAGAGCTGAAATTTACAAATAAGCACATTTACATGTCTTAAGGTTAAGAGTTGTCAGGACTGCCATCTTCTTCATCCTGGAAGGTAACTGATATATCAGGAACTGATGATGATGGTGGCAGCACATCTGGGTAAGTAGATGTTGAAGGCACTAGATTTTCAAGTGGTGACTCCTCTGTTGTATGCTTTTTAGCTATTTTTTTTTTTAGCATATCTTGCAAGCTGAGCTGTTTCATATATTTTAGCCTTTCTTTGGCTAGTTTATCCTGCAGCATGTAAACCTTCATTATTTCTTGTTCACTTATAAAACTGCATTGCTCTAGACCTTTTAGCAGTTCACCTGTCAACTGAATTAACCTATCAATAGAGACTCTTTCTGCTACATCTCCCTCCTTTTCATAACTGCTTTCTCCTCCACTAGCTTCTCACTGTGAACTTACAAATATCTGCACAATTTCTGGTGCAGTGACCCAGAAAACCTGCCAAAATTAGTGCTGGATTAGTGATTGCCAGATCAGTGATGGCCAAACTGTATCATTTTTTATTTTTTTTTATTATTATCACACTGGCCGATTCCCACCAAGGCAGGGTGGCCCGAAAAAGAAAAACTTTCACCATCATTCGCTCCATCACTGTCTTGCCAGAAGGGTGCTTTACACTACAGTTTTTAAACTGCAACATTAACACCCCTCCTTCAGAGTGCAGGCACTGTACTTCCCATCTCCAGGACTCAAGTCCGGCCTGCCGGTTTCCCTGAATCCCTTCATAAATGTTACTTTGCTCACACTCCAACAGCACGTCAAGTATTAAAAACCATTTGTCTCCATTCACTCCTATCAAACACGCTCACGCATGCCTGCTGGAAGTCCAAGCCCCTCGCACACAAAACCTAATTTACCCCCTCCCTCCAACCCTTCCTAGGCCGACCCCTACCCCGCCTTCCTTCCACTACAGACTGATACACTCTTGAAGTCATTCTGTTTCGCTCCATTCTCTCTACATGTCCGAACCACCTCAACAACCCTTCCTCAGCCCTCTGGACAACAGTTTTGGTAATCCCGCACCTCCTCCTAACTTCCAAACTACGAATTCTCTGCATTATATTCACACCACACATTGCCCTCAGACATGACATCTCCACTGCCTCCAGCCTTCTCCTCGCTGCAACAATTATCACCCACGCTTCACACCCATATAAGAGCGTTGGTAAAACTATACTCTCATACATTCCCCTCTTTGCCTCCAAGGACAAAGTTCTTTGTCTCCACAGACTCCTAAGTGCACCACTCACTCTTTTTCCCTCATCAATTCTATGATTCACCTCATCTTTCATAGACCCATCCGCTGACACGTCCACTCCCAAATATCTGAATACGTTCACCTCCTCCATACTCTCCCTCCAATCTGATATTCAATCTTTCATCACCTAATCTTTTTGTTATCCTCATAACCTTACTCTTTCCTGTATTCACCTTTAATTTTCTTCTTTTGCACACCCTACCAAATTCATCCACCAATCTCTGCAGCTTCTCTTCAGAATCTCCCAAGAGCACAGTGTCATCAGCAAAGAGCAGCTGTGACAACTCCCACTTTGTGTGTGATTCTTTATCTTTTAACTCCACGCCTCTTGCCAAGACCCTCGCATTTACTTCTCTTACAACCCCATCTATAAATATATTAAACAACCACGGTGACATCACACATCCTTGTCTAAGGCCTACTTTTACTGGGAAAAAATTTCCCTCTTTCCTACATACTCTAACTTGAGCCTCACTATCCTCGTAAAAACTCTTCACTGCTTTCAGTAACCTACCTCCTACACCATACACTTGCAACATCTGCCACATTGCCCCCCTATCCACCCTGTCATACGCCTTTTCCAAATCCATAAATGCCACAAAGACCTCTTTAGCCTTATCTAAATACTGTTCACTTATATGTTTCACTGTAAACACCTGGTCCACACACCCCCTACCTTTCCTAAAGCCTCCTTGTTCATCTGCTATCCTATTCTCCGTCTTACTCTTAATTCTTTCAATTATAACTCTACCATACACTTTACCAGGTACACTCAACAGACTTATCCCCCTATAATTTTTGCACTCTCTTTTATCCCCTTTGCCTTTATACAAAGGAACTATGCATGCTCTCTGCCAATCCCTAGGTACCTTACCCTCTTCCATACATTTATTAAATAATAGCACCAACCCCTCCAAAACTATATCCCACCTGCTTTTAACATTTCTATCTTTATCCCATCAATCCCGGCTGCCTTACCCCCTTTCATTTTACCTACTGCCTCACGAACTTCCCCCACACTCACAACTGGCTCTTCCTCACTCCTACAAGATGTTATTCCTCCTTGCCCTATACACGAAATCACAGCTTCCCTATCTTCATCAACATTTAATAATTCCTCAAATATTCCCTCCATCTTCCCAATACCTCTAACTCTCCATTTAATAACTCTCCTCTCCTATTTTTAACTGACAAATCCATTTGTTCTCTAGGCTTTCTTAACTTGTTAATCTCACTCCAAAACTTTTTCTTATTTTCAACAAAATTTGTTGATAACATCTCACCCACTCTCTCATTTGCTCTCTTTTTACATTGCTTCACCACTCTCTTAACCTCTCTCTTTTTCTCCATATACTCTTCCCTCCTTGCATCACTTCTACTTTGTAAAAACTTCTCATATGCTAACTTTTTCTCCCTTACTACTCTCTTTACATCATCATTCCACCAATCACTCCTCTTCCCTCCTGCACCCACTTTCCTGTAACCACAAACTTCTGCTGAACACTCTAACACTACATTTTTAAACCTACCCCATACCTCTTCGACCCATTGCCTATGCTCTCATTAGCCCATCTATCCTCCAATAGCTGTTTATATCTTACCCTAACTGCCTCCTCTTTTAGTTTATAAACCTTCACCTCTCTCTTCCCTGATGCTTCTATTCTCCTTGTATCCCATCTACCTTTTACTCTCAGTGTAGCTACAACTAGAAAGTGATCTGATATATCTGTGGCCCCTCTATAAACATGTACATCCTGAAGTCTACTCAACAGTCTTTTATCTACCAATACATAATCCAACAAACTACTGTCATTTCGCCCTACATCATATCGTGTATACTTATTTATCCTCTTTTTCTTAAAATATGTATTACCTATAACTAAACCCCTTTCTATACAAAGTTCAATCAAAGGGCTCCCATTATCATTTACACCTGGCACCCCAAACTTACCTACCACACCCTCTCTAAAAGTTTCTCCTACTTTAGCATTCAGGTCCCCTACCACAATTACTCTCTCACTTGGTTCAAAGGCTCCTATACATTCACTTAACATCTCCCAAAATCTCTCTCTCTCCTCTGCATTCCTCTCTTCTCCAGGTGCATACACGCTTATTATGACCCACTTCTCGCATCCAACCTTTACTTTAATCCACATAATTCTTGAATTTACACGTTCATATTCTCTTTTCTCCTTCCATAACTGATCATTTAACATTACTGCTACCCCTTCCTTTGCTCTAACTCTCTCAGATACTCCAGATTTAATCCCATTTATTTCCCCCCACTGAAATTCTCCTACCCCCTTCAGCTTTGTTTCGCTTAGAGCCAGGACATCCAACTTCTTTTCATTCATAACATCAGCAATCATCTGTTTCTTGTCATCCGCACTACATCCACGCACATTTAAGCATCCCAATTTTATAAAGTTTTTCTTCTTCTCTTTTTTAGTAAATGTATACAGGAGAAAGGGTTACTAGCCCATTGCTCCCGGCATTTTAGTCGCCTCATACGACACGCATGGCTTACGGAGGAAAGATTCTTTTCCACTTCCCCATGGACAATAGAAGAAATAAAAAAGAACAAGAGCTATTTAGAAAAAGGAGAAAAACCTAGATGTATGTATATATATATATGCATGTGCGTGTCTGTGAAGTGTGACCAAAGTGTAAGTAGGAGTAGCAAGATATCCCTGTTATCTAGCGTGTTTATGAGACAGAAAAAGAAACCAGCAATCCTACCATCATGCAAAACAGTTACAGGTTTTTGTTTCACAGTCATCTGGCAGGACGGTAGTACTTCCCTGGGTGGTTGCTGTCTACCAACCTACTACCTATAAACTGTATCATACTAGGAACAATTCACAACCAACCCAAACATTGGATAGGAAACTTTTTAACTGCATTTTGATCAGTTCTGGGCAATAAACATTTTTTTATAAATACCATCTGTTTCCTACCAACATAGGGTCTAGAACAAGTAATAGTGCCATTTTTTTTTTTTTAACACGTTGACTATCTCCCGCCAACGGAGGGTGACCCAAAAAGAAAGGAAAACCCAAAAAGAAAGAAAAAACTTTCACCATCACTCATACACGATCACAGTCTTTGCAGAGGCACCCAGGTACGTCAGTTCAGATGTCCCTTCAAACTGCCAATATCCCAAACCCCTCCTTTAAAGTGCAAGCATTGTACTTCCCATTTCCATGACTCAAGTTCGGCTAACTGGTTTCCCTGAATCCCTTCACAAAATATTACCCTGCTCACATTCCAACAGCTCGTCAGGTTCCAAAAACCATTCGTCTCTATTCACTCCTATGTAACATGCTCATGCACGCTTGCTGGAAGTCCAAGCCCCTCACCCACAAAACCTCCTTTACCCCTTCCCTTCAACCTTTTCAGGGCCGACCCCTACCCCACTTTCCTTTCCCTACAGATTTATATGCTCTCCAAGTCATTCTACTTTGTTCTATCTATACTCTCATACATTCTCTTCTTTGCGTCCATGGATAATGCTTTTTGTCTCCACAGATACCTCAATGCACCTCTCACCTTTTTTCTTTCATCAATTCTATGGTTAACCTCATCCTTCATAAACTCATCTGCTGACAAGTCAACTCCCAAATATCTGAAAACATTCACTTCTTCCAAACTCCCTCCCTCCAATGTGATACCCAATTTTTCTTTATCTAAATCGTTTGATACCCTTATTACCTTACTCTTATCTATGTTCACTTTCAACTTTCTACCTTTACATACCCTTCCAAACTCATCCATAAAAATTATCCTCTCCAAATTGAAAATTCTGGTAAATAAAATACATGTATTTACAAGTAAAGATACAGAACATGATTTATATCAATCACTTACATCTACTGCTTCCTCGGTGAATTTTTCAATAGTATTGATATCTTTTATAATAGCATTATGAAGGGACTGTACAAGGATGTCCCAGTAACGCCGATTCATTATCTCCAACTCCACTCGTAATGGCTGGAAACTTATGCTGAAGCAATCCAGTTTCTCCTCTGTACTTGGTAATTTTCCAATCTCTTGACCCTTTGCTTTTGAGGCTCGGAAATTTCTGAGTTTTTATAAAGTAAAATATCATTTAATAAATACCTTGCATCTATAACATTGGCATAGAATGCTTTAAATTATATTCAAGTATATATACAGTGGAACCTCAGCTTTTGTTTGCCCTGGTTTTCGTCGAATTCAGTTTTCGATGACTTTTTTTCGTCAAAATTTTGTCCCAGTTTTCATTCATCACCTTGGTTTTTGTTGGTCCACTGCACTGAACATGTCCGCCTGTCCATGCCCACACAAAGCATCCCAAGCGTTCTGAGACAGTCTGGCTTTGTTTCTCGTCGAGTGAGCATTACCCTGTGCGTTCATCCAAAACATTTTTTAATAATCCATTGTTTTTTGTGCTTGTTTATTGAGTGCAATTGCTGAATAAGCCACCATGGGGCTTTGGGAAAGTCTACAGGATTGAATGTGAGTGGCCAGGATGTGGAAGAGTTGGTGGACAACCACAGGGAAGAGCTAACCACTGAAGTGCTGCAACACCTTCAACTGGAGTAACAGATTGCAGCTGAGGAAACTGCTTCAGAGGAGGAGGAAGAGAGAGGGAAGAATGTGCCTTCTTCAGTGATTAAGGACATGTGTGCAAAGTGGAGTTAGTTGCAAAGTTTTGTGGAGAAATATCACCCTAACAAAGCTGTTGCAAGCTGTGTCTGCAACATGTTCAATGACAATGCCTTGTCCCATTTTAGGCAAATCTTAAACAGATGCCAGAAACAGACCACTGTGAACAGATTTTTTGTGCAACATGGGTCCAGTGCCAGTAAAAGACAAAGAAGGGAAGTAACCCCAGACAGGGACTTGTACCTTAAGTCCTTATGGAGGGGGATTCCCCCTTCCAACCAATAACCTCTCCTCCTCCCTTTCTCCTCCTCGCATCTTCCATACACCAGCAAGAGTCTTCAATAAAGGTAAAAGTGATATTAAATGTTCATTTATCCATTTTATTAGTCCTTTATATTTATTTCTCTTTGTTTTCTGTTTGCAAAACTATAGTTATTCTCTATAAAATGTATTTTTTGTTAATACTTTTGGGTGTCTGGAACAGACTAATTGGATTTACATTATTTCTTTTGGGAAATATTGCTTCAGTTTTGGTTGAATTCGATTTTTGTCAGACTCTCTGGAACAAATTAATGACGAAAACTGAGGTTCCACTGTAATACATTCAGAAAAAATCATATTTGCTAAATACTATAGCTCACTTGAGTGGTATTTTCATAAAAAAAGTTGTACTGTATAGAAAATTCAGATTACTATACGATTTATACCAAGGAAAATGATAGTACACTTCTTTTTATATACATATAGTACAAGCACTTTCTTGTAAATACAAATTAAGTATTAAGAACATAGAGCATAAAAAAGAAGGAACACTGCAGCAGGCCTACCTGCCCATGCGAGGCAGGTCCAATTCTCCCACTGGCTTAAGCCTTGACCTAGTCAGGTCAGTCACATTCACTTAAGGGAGGAGCACAGCATCTGACCTAGTAGCACAAGCTAGTCAGGTCCAATTCACACCCACCCATATCCACTCATGTATTTATCCAACCTATTTTTAAAACTACACAACGTTTTAGCTTCTATGACGGTACTCCGGAGTTTGTTCCACTCATCCACGACTTTATTACCAAACCAGTGCTTTCTTATATCCTTCCTAAATCTGAATTTTTCCAATTTAAAACCATTGCTACGAGTTCTGTCTATACTAGATATTTTTAGTAAGCTATTTACATCCCCTTTGTTAATTCCACTTGTACACCTCAATCATATCCTCCCTAATTCTACACCTTTCTAGAGAGTGCAGATTCAAGGCCCTCAGTCTATCCTCATAGGGAAGGTTTCTGATACAGGGGATCAACTTTGTCATCCTCCTTTGTATCTTTTCCAGAGCATTTATATCCATTCTGTAATATGGTGACCAAAACTGAGCAGCATAATCTAAACGAGGCATAACCAAAGATATATAGAGATGAAGAACAACCTGAGAACTTCTATTATTTATACTTCATGCTATGAAGCCAAGCATTCTGTTAGCTTTATTGCAAACACTTGTGCACTGTTGTCTTGGTTTCAGATAACTAACCAAAACTCCTAAATCCATTTTGTAATCCATAATATCAGGATCTACATTATTTAGTCCAACATTTAGAACTTTTCATTTGTCTATATTAAACTGCATCTGCCACTTCTCTGACCACTGCATCAGTCTATTCAAAATACCCTGGAGTGCTCTAATGTCCTCATTAGAATGAACTGGACGGCCTATTTTGATGTCATCAGCAAATTTGCTTATGTCGCTACTGATTCCCTCATCTATGTCGTTTATGTAAATTGTGAACAACAAAGGACCCAACACTGACTCCTGTGGATTGCCACTTGTGACGTGCCCCCATTGTGATTTCTCCCCATTTATGCAAACTTTCTGCTGCCTATCTGTCAACCATGCCTCTACCCAGGAAAAAAATTCTCTTCCTTTACCGTGTGCCTCAAGTTTTCTCAACAGCGTCTGATGTGGAACTCTATCGAAATCCTTACTGAAATCCATATACACAATATCATATTCAATACCATGATCTACCTCCCCAAATACCTTAGTGAAGAAAGTATTGTAATAGCATTAACATATACTGTACTATAGTACAAGTTCTTCACTGTATTGAGTCTTACTTTTCATATGCTGCACTAACAACTACTAATTTAATTTAAAAGCAGAGAAAAGTGACATTAAATATATATCTAAAGCAACTGTTCCAACTAAGATGAGAAAGATATAGAGTAAGCCTTCTTATAAAGTAAAACAACATAGTGTGATATTTGTGTAAAGGTTATTAGAAAAGTGAAACCAAACTTGCAGTACATGAAAAAACTTTGACAGTACATTCCATGAATGGAAAAGCATTAAGTTACTAGTAAAATTTGGGTACTATGAGCAGTGAAATTTTTCATTTCCAACCCAAGTTGGGCTTATGGGTTGAGTGTTAGGAGAGGCACAGCTCCTCACCTCTCTTACTCCTTGATCACCTACTGTTACTTTCTGGGAAAATTACATGCCATATTTACTCTGTTTATCAAATGATTTTGAATCTTTTCCTCACCCTGTCACATCTTTGCATATTAATCATGGCATCCAATAGGAATACATGTATTGGTGATGCTCAAGATGCCAGGAAGAATACATATGAAGCTCTGATGGTATTTAAGAAAGTTGAAATTTTAGATATGCTATGAGGTAGCGTACATGTAATGCAGACTGCCCAATCCACCTTACATACAACTGGAGACAATGAGAAGAAAGTAAGAACGTGCAATGTGTAACACAAACTATAACCCGGTGACATGAATGTCAAAAAGATGAATACAGCTAAATAAGGTAAAAGTTATGGAATGTGTGAACTGAAGAAAAAACAAGGAAAGGGGCCACACTTATTTCTCAGAAAATGAGACACAAAACCTAATCCTACTATAAAACTGTGTGAGAAGGAAGGAGAGCCTTTACAACAGTGTATGTTTATTGTTCCTCATACTTCCATGTCAACAGGCAACTATAACTAGAATGAAAGGCAAGATAAACTGTAACAATATGTAAAATATTAAATAAAATTTATTTGGCAAATTTGAAAGTGTCTGAAACATAGGAGCATTTTTTCCCATACATTCTTCACTTCATACATGGCTAATTTCGATACACAACTTTCAATGGAGTACAGCCTCTCCTCACTTGTCAACGTACTCATTTACCGATGACTCGGACTTACGATGGGTTCTCTGACCAGTATTCATACCTAAATAATGCATATTAGAGCTGATTTCCACTATTCTGTTTATTACAATACAGAGTAAACTAATGTATAAACATTTAAAAATATACCAGAAATGTTATAAATGGTGCAAAGGTGACATTGAAACAATAACAAAGATGGCTGACACAAACCCAATACCACTATAGTATACTCCTCACTTAGTGACAAATTCATTTACCGACATGGTCTTAGGAACAGAACTCTATCGTTAAGTGAGGAAAGGCTGTACATGATACAATTTTGTTAACAATCTTCATAAATCATACCATCAAGTAGCAACAGATTATTGTTACGACAAGCATATTCTTACCGGTCCCAGTCTTCAGCTGTTTTACAGAGTTTCTCCACCAGCTGTTCCACATCACATGAGCCAAGAGCACATAAATCCACGAAAACGTTCCTTGATACTTTCAAGTCTCTCAAATAATTCTTCAGCTCGCTGAAACAGCTGTGCAAAACGATGGGCATTACGGTCTACGATGGTTGGGAATACTGGGTGTTCATTGACCTCATTCACACCCTATGGGAGATGATAATGTATCAACCAATATAATAAAATATTACTTATACATGCATTTTCAAATAATATTTTTAATTAATATTATATCTCAGCCATATAGGTCAGACAAAATTCAGAAACATCTCAATGTACCTTAAAATGGTATGGAATGACTAGAAAACGCTTCAATTGCCCATAATACTTCATGCGAATTTCTTCCATTGGAGGGATAAATTGAAGCCTCTGTTGCCTGCAAACAACAAATATTTATAAACAATCTATTACATGTTAATGCATAAACTACAAACACAGGACCAAAGTAACACAGTATTTCACACCTGTATGTCAACTCCACTTTGAATTCTGGAAGGTATTGGTTAAGAGCTTCAAGTCCCAACTGATACTGATGTTCCAGAGCCTTGTACAGCTGACGATCCCAATGGGAGCACCAAGACTTTTGATCAGCAAAGCCTTTTTCTTGCAACTGATGCATGATGGATCGCATCTCCTTTAGCAGCTCCTTCCATTTAGATTGATGCCGTAGCAGGTCAGTATTCATGAGTGCCAACACCTAAAAATAACAAATGATACAGATTTTATATTCAATAAAAATGATATCTGCACCTGAGAAATCAAGTAAATAAGTGACAAAACAGTAATTAAGGTCACCATCTCATTTAATATCAGATGAGATTTTTAATGTGAATGGATATTCTATGAATGTGAAGACAAATTGAGTGTAGATTGTATGAAAGAAAATAATCTGGATGTCTAAGCTCTGAGTAAAATAAAGTAAAAAAGAATTAAGTAAGTGTGAGTAGGAATGAACTGAAGGGATTAAGTCAATCAAATGTATCTCAGACTAAGAACTAAAGAAGATGTGCCATCACTGTTGAATGATAAATTAGACACATGTGCAACACTTGGGTATTTTTCACTGAGGAAATGTTTCGCCACACAGTGACTTCATCAATCAATCAATCAAGTTTATTCTCTATAAGGATTACAATGCGGGGTTTACAGATTTTGAATATTGTGTGGTTTACATGTTTTAAAATACTAATTACAGAGGGGGCCACTAGGACACCTAGCATGGTTAGGCATTTCGGGCAGACTTAGATTAATTCTAAACTTTAAATTACTACAGATTATGGTATTAAGGCTAAGTGACTACATTATAGTTTGTGAGTTTAGCAATGTGAATGCTTTTGTTTTGGCACAATACATAGTGTCTATATTGGAGTATCATAGGCAAGCTTATGACTAGTTAGGATACATTATTTTAAGATTAAGATTCGTATTTCTGTGTTTATAGTCAATGGGTGAGTGAGTGTAAGTGTGAACCACCAGGTGGTTTACATGTAGTTAGTTGACGGGGTGTATCAGGGAGATAAGATGTTTTCTAACTGTAGTTTTGAAAGTGATGAATGTGTCTGCAGTTCTAGAGTTTTCAGGTAGGGTGTTCCAGATTTTAGGCCCTTTGATACACATTGAATTTTTGTAAAGGTTTAGTCGGACATGAGAATGTCATAGAGATGTGTGTCTGGTGTTATGCCTGTGGGTCCTGTCACACCTATCAAGAAAGCATTTTAGGTCAAGGCTAATATTAGGATTTAAGGTCCTGTAGATGTAGATTGCATAGTAGTAAGTGTGGATATTGTGAACAGGGAATAAGTTTAGATCTATGAAGAGTGGGGGAGTTTGCCAAGGATGGGATTAGGTGATTATTCTTATTGCGGCTTTTTGTTGGGTTATTATTGGCTTTAGATGTGTTGCTGCAGTTGATCCCCAAGCACAAATAGCATAGGTGAGGTATGGATGAGTGAATGGTATAGTGTGAGAAGGGCAGTTTGAGGCATGTAATATCGTATCTTGGAGAGGATCCCCACCGTTTTGGATACTTTTTTTGTTATGTGTTGGATATGGGCGCTGAAATTTAGGTTGTTGTCGAGGTATAGAAATGGAATTTGCCCTCATTATGTCTGGCAATTAGTGTGTTGTCGATCTTAATGTTAAGTTGCGCAACATCTGCTCTGCTACCAAACATAATGTAGTAGGTTTTGTCAGAGTTAAGTGTAAGTTTATTGGCTGTCATCCAAGTCAGAATTTTGAGCAGCTCCTCATTGACAATGGCGTTGAGGGTGGCAAGATTAGGGTGGGAGATGACGTAAGTCGTGTCGTCAGCAAAGAGAATGGGTTTCAGGTGTTGGGATACATTTGGAAGATCATTAATGTAAATGAGGAAGAGCAGGGTACCAAGGACACTTCCCTGCGGAACTCCAGTATCAAGTGGCCGTGTTGATGAGGCTGTGTCTTTAATGGTAACATACTGATACCTATTAGTAAGGTAGGATTTGAAATATGCAAGTGCATGGCCTCTTATACCATAATAGTCAAGTTTGTGGAGTAGGATGCTGTGGTCTACTGTGTCAAAAGCTTTTCTTAGGTCAATAAAAATTCCTTGCGGATATTCCTTATTTTCCAATGCTGTGTAAAGCAGATCTAGCATTTTTACAATTGCATCATTAGTGCTTTTATTTTTCCTGAATCCAAATTGGCAGGGGTTGAGTATGTTTTGTGCCGTTATAAATGAATATAGTCTCCTGTGCACGAGTTTCTCGAAGATTTTGGATAGCAATGGTAAGTTTGATATTGACCTATAGTTGTTTACATCTGTAGGGTCACCACCTTTATGTATTGGTGTAACCCTTGCTGTCTTGAGTAGTGTCGGGAAAGTGCTAGTTTCTAGTGACTTGTTAAAAAGTAATGTAATAGCATGCGAAAGGACATGGGCCGCTCGCTTGTACAATAATGGTGGGACGTGAGACAGATTCCTTGAGTTATTTTTGAGTGACTTTATAATCGTGGTGACTTCCATGGGCTCAGTTGGTACAAGATAGAGGGAATTTGGAAAATTCCCATCTAGGTAGTCCCCAGCACGGGCGTTGGTACGTGAGATTTTACTGGCGAGATCAGATCCTATGTTTGAGAAGAAGTCGTTTATCTTGTCAGCTGTATCAGTGGGATGCAGTGGTGTTTCATTAGGTTTGGTTAGGACAATATTCTTAGTTTTTTTTCAGTTTGTGGGTCCCCAGAATCTGGGAAAGTGTTTTCCAGGTCTTTTTTTATATCTCCTCTTGTGTCAGTGAATCTGCTAGAGTAGTACAGTTGTTTGGCTTTCTTTATTAATTTGGTGAGAACTGATGAATATTGTTTAAGAATATCTTTGTGTATTAAGCCCTGTCTATATTGCTTTTCATATTGGTGTTTCTTATCAATGGATTTCAGAATGCTGCTGGTTAGCCATGGGCAACCGAGCCATTTATTCGTGATCTGTTTCGTTTTTATAGGACAATGTTTGTTGTATAGTTTAAGTATTTTGTTAGGAAAAATGTCTGTCCAATCATCAATACCATTGGCATTGGAGAATTCTGTAGGCCAGTCAACAGTCTCTAGGTCTGCTGTGAAATTCCTTATTGAGGCCTCGTCATGGAGTCTAAATGAAACTTTATTGTATTCGAGTGGTGGCTTACTAATGTTTGCTAAGAGGAAGGTAGGGTAGTGGTCTGTAGTGCTGTCTGTGATTATCCCTGATTTAAGAGGGGCTAGTATATTGGTCCATATGTGGTCTATTATGGTTGCACTTGTCTCAGTCATCCTGGCTGGTTTAGTTATTGTTGGTATGAGAAGTGTGTTGTTCATATTGTTGATGAAATCAGTTACAGGCTGATCATCTGGAAAGCCAAGGTTGATATTGAAGTCTCCAGCTAAGAGAAGGTAGTGCTTGTTCATTTGTCTGTTTGTTATTAGTGCCTTTAGATTCTCACTGAAATTTGGGATGTTTGTGTGGGGTATCCGATAAATGGCACCGACTGTTATAGGCGTCTTAAGGTTTTTTACAGTAAAATTAGCAAAAATGTATTCCCCATATTCATCACTAAAGCAAGTGGTGCTAATACAAGATAGTTGGTTAGAGTAATAGATTGCAATACCACCCCCAATTTGGTATGGTCTGCAGTTGTGGATTGCTGTGTATCCTGATAGTGGGTAGATATCTATTGTGTCCTGCTTAAGGGGTCGTCACGGCAATTAAATGTTGCTCTTTTGTTTACCATCCGATTTCCTTAGTTTTGGCGCACAAGACGAAGTGTTTTCTCTATTAATATAAATATTTATCAATAAGATACCTCAAACAACAACTGAGAAAAGACTGAAAAAGGACTGATTTACTGAAAATGCCCTTTGGCAGGAAGGTGATCCTATATGGGACGACGTAAGGTTGTTTGGACACTTGGTGCCGAGAGAACAATGCTTATACGAATTTCTCATGGTTTGGTTTCCTCTAAATATTTTTATTTCACAAAAAAATAAAGTTTGTTAGTTCTTGGAATGTTATAAAAACTCTGGACTTTACTCCCACATAACTCTCAAAATATTTGGAATATTTCCAAAAATGTACCATGAGAAATTAGAGAATTTATTTTACAATTTCTCTGAATATTATTCCACTTAATTAAGTAATAAAGGCATACCTTAGCGAAATAAGTGAATAAGTTACTTCCGAGATATTGGCCTGGAGTGCCGGCCGGCCCCCCGTCTCGAAAAAAAAAAAAAATCGCGAAAATCGCGTTTATTTCGGTGTATTTCTTAGTAAACTGATGTTCTAGTGCAGTTATCCTCTTCAAAACACCATTTTCTCTTACTCAAAGATGACATGAGAAGAGTAACTCATTTATATCGAAATATTCCCGATGGTCTCTCGCCATGTTATGGCCTATTTTATTCAGTCTAGATTATATAACATGTTTGTATGTTATTTATAGTGTTTATTACATCATAACAGATCAATTCTGATAGATAAATAAGCTGTAGAGTTGATATATAAGCTGATATAAGTGTAATAATGAAGTGATTTCTCCTGGCACTCTCTGGAGCGGGAGTAATGCCGAGCGTTCCCAGATAGTACCTGATTGGCTGGCACTCTACGGATAAGCTCCGCCTCCTCTTATATGATGCCAAATAGTCAAATATTATATTAGGAAGAATAATGCAAGAAAAAGAGATAAAAAACAAGGAAAAAATTACAAAAAATATATGGGCTGTGAGCAGACTCGCTACCCATATCGCCGTCACCATACCTGATATAAATGACTATAATTTCTTGTAGAAACGTCCTAGAACATTGATTCTTGTAACATTGTGTTGCCAAAGAGTTAAGCTATTTTTCTGTATGAATAACTCAATTTCCATAATTTTTCGATTTTTTTTTTGAGAGCGCGCGGAAAATTGCCTTATCGGCCCCTTAAGCCAGGTCTCAGTAAGAATAATGCAGGAGAAGGGTGTCTTTAGCAACTCAAGGAGTGCCAGGAGTCCAATACAAAGAAGAATGATGAAGATCAAAAGGTATTTGAGCCTGAAGTTGTCCCTCTTAACATAATGATAAATGGATCACCTATCACAAAACTAACAGAGGGAAAATTCTTAGGAATCCACCTTGATAATAGACTCAAATTTCATACACATATACATCAAATTTCTAAGAAAATTTCCAAGACTGTAGGCATACTATCGAAGATACGGTACTATGTTCCACAGTCAGCCCTCCTGGCCCTATATCACTCTCTTATTTACCCCTATCTCACCTATGGAATTTGTGCATGGGGCTCAACAACAATTAACCATCTCAGACCACTAATTACCCAACAAAAGGCTGCAGTTAGAATGATAACAAATTCTCACTACAGGCAGCACACTCCACCAATATTCAATACACTAAACCTACTCACCATACAAAACATCCATACTTATTACTGCACCTATTACATACATAGAACACTTAACTCTGATATTAACCCTCCCCTCAAACATCTCCTTGCCAACCTCAACAGAACACATGACCATAACACAAGGCACAGATCACTCTTTGATGTTCCTCGTGTCCATCTCACACTATGCAAAAACTCAATGCACATAAAAGGCCCTAAAATCTGGAATTCATTACCTGTAAATATAAAAGAAACACTACCTGTTTATAAATTCAAGTCTCTTCTCAAAGATTACTTACTCACCCAAAACCAAATAAATACTGAATAACTGAACATTATAAATTGTATATCTTAAATGTTTCTCACAATTATATCACATAAATGTTAAACCTAAAACCCAATCTAACTTTATTATTTTTTAAATACACTACCTAACAGAATCACTACCTAACTGAATGCAACCATATGACCTGTCTTTGTAATACTCACTTGTGCTTTATAGTTATCTGTTTACATTAATGTTTTATCACTGATTTCATCATTGCTTAGTAGCAGCGCTGTATAGTCCATGTGGCTTAGCGCTTCTTTTTGATTATAATAATAATAATAATCATTGCTTAGTTAATCTTAAGTTAATTTTAAGCCAGCCCGTAATGCTATGCATAGTATAAGTGGCTTTGGCATACTGCTCTTATCTGTATTTTTTTTGTACCTCTGTATGTGTGCACAAATTGGAAATAAATAAATAAATAAAAAAAAAAATTATATCACATAAATGTTAAACCTAAAACCCAATCTAACTTTATTATTTTTTAAATACACTACCTAACAGAATCACTACCTAACTGAATGCAACCATATGACCTGTCTTTGTAATACTCACTTGTGCTTTATAGTTATCTGTTTACATTAATGTTTTATCACTGATTTCATCATTGCTTAGTAGCAGCGCTGTATAGTCCTTGTGGCTTAGCGCTTCTTTTTGATTATAATAATAATAATAATCATTGCTTAGTTAATCTTAAGTTAATTTTAAGCCAGCCCGTAATGCTATGCATAGTATAAGTGGCTTTGGCATACTGCTCTTATCTGTATTTTTTTGTACCTCTGTATGTGTGCACAAATTGGAAATAAATAAATAAATAAATAAATAAATAAATAAATAAATAATCAGTCCATCTTTGTAAATACAGTTAGGTGAACACATCAATACCCATGATAACATCAATCTGCTACCAACATAGTCAAGAACCACACATATCTACAGAGAAAAGCTGTCTGATCAAAGGGGTATGAATGTAATGATTACATCATTGTACCTGATTTGATATTTTAATATATACAAATACAAATTTTTATTTCTGTATGCAGTACAAATAATGTAGTTTTTTTTTTAACACGTTGGCCGTTTCCCACTGAGGCAGGGTGACCCAAAAAGAAAGAAAAAATATATAAATGTAGTTTATATATAAGAAAACATTGGTAGTTACAAAAGAAAGCTACTAACATATTTCAGGCAAACTAATAACAGTACTTAATATTTAATGAATTTAACCCTTAAACGGTCCAAACAGATCGACGCTCAAATTCGTAGTGCTACAAAAGTAGATCTACCTTTTTTTTACATATTTTCAAATATAACAAAAAAAATGTAGATAAAAGTTTTTTTACACGTTTTCAAATGTAAAACAAAAGAGAAGATCTACATTATTTTACATACTTTCAGATGTTGAAAAAACGTATATATACGTTTGGACCATTTAAGGGTTAATCAATTATTTATTATTTCAATAAATTATATTAATCAGTTATTAATCAATTTAATAAATTTTTTTTAATTTAATCTCTTATTTACTAAATTTATTCAATTAAACAATTCAACAGTCTGCCTTTTATTGAAGAGCTTGTCAACTTTTCTTATTTCAAGATTCTAAATGCTACAGAAGATGAGCTAGTGCCTTTTATTGACATTTAATTTTAACCCTTAAATGGTCCAAACGTATATACATATACATTTTTTCAGCATCTGAAAGTATGTAAAAAAAATGTAGATCTTTTTTTTTGTTTTACATGTGAAAACGTGTAAAAAAAACTTTTATCTACATTTTTTTTGTTATATTTGAAAATATGTAAAAAAAAGTAGATCTACTTTTGTAGCACTACGAATCTGAACGTCGATCTGTTTGGACCGTTTAAGGGTTAAACACCTTTTCAGACATGCTGGAATTTAGCTTTAAAGATAGAAGTTTACTACACTCTTGAGTGGACACTATGGGGTAACTAGTATACACTTTAAATATTATTTAACACTCCAAAGAGTCAAATGCTTTCAAATTCAAATTTTTATTTCTTTGCAAAGTTTACAATGTGTGATTTACATATAAATAGTGTTATGCACAAAGAAAGCCACTAGCAGCATGAGCATTTTGGGCATACTAATCTTAATGCTTACAGACTACTTAAAACTAGACATAAGTTATGGAGTGGTAAATTTTAATTTTTCATTATTTTTGGGATTTTGGCACTATTTAAGCCACTTCTATTTATCCCTGTAAGACTTCTGTTAGTTTCCTCTCATGAAACTGAAATTTAAGGCATAAACACAAACTATAAATTGTACATACTCTTTCCTTGATCATGAGGTGACACTGAGCCAGTTGTTTATTTTCCCGAGCCAACCTCTGCGTTGCTGTCTTAAGTTTGGCAATGTAAGCATCCAACTGTTGAGTGTTAGACCAAGTGATAGTGGTCTGTTCCTGCACTAAGCCTGAGAGGGCAAGTGCTGCTTCAAGCATCATTGGACGCTGAGATGGAATCATCTGGTCTCCTACTGTGTTGTGGAAGTTTGCAATCTGAAAATTATCTTTTATTTTTAAGTTTAAAAACAAATAAAATTAAAATTTTTCTTAATCAGACAAAAATCAGACATACAGTAGTATAAGTTAGTTTCTTGCTGTAGCAACAATAACTACAGTGTAATATGCATTGCAATTCATATATCCCAGAGACAAGTGACTAAAAACTTCCTTCCTTACTATATATGACGGCCATCAGGCAAAAATAAAGTGAAAATACAGTATGTACTAGAAAAAGACAAAAGAAAAAAATTCCTGTTTCTGAATGACAATGATGTTAGCATAAAACTGATAAGATGTACAGTAAAGGAGCTATTGTATAGGCCCAGCAAGATAACAGGTCTGTAAGATATTAAAAGATAAAAGGTATTGGAACTTTTAATAGCTTTTCTTACCTCTTCCAAGGCCTTAGCCTGCTTCATAAATTTTTGAGCAAGATTTGCCATTTTGATTATATTTGGATGTATCTTGTGGCCCAGGATTGCAAGTTGACTTACTTCCCTTACCAACCCTACCAGTCGCGGATTATAATTCACTCGCAGCAGTCGACCTCTGCTGAATGATAGCACGGGGGAGTCTGTAGCCAGGCTGAAATCAAGAAAATTATCAGATTAATGAAACTCACTTAAATATAAAAATAGGCGTTTTACTGGTACTTAATTTTTAAATACAGTTCTGCAAATGAAATATTCGTTAATTACTAATACAATACATTGTATTATATTCTTATAACAATGGAAAGAAGTGCTTCATTTCTTTGACATATATGTACTCTGACTGTCATGGCTCATATCATAACATTTCAACTTTTAGACAGAAATAATAAGACGGTGACAGAAAATAAGGAAAAAAACCTCTACTAAATGTGGTTGTCAGGACCACACTGATGGGACACTATAAGCTGAAGACCCATACAGAATACCCTTACTGAAAAAAAAAAAAGTGGAGTGATGGGAATAGAGAAACCACACGAGATCATGCTTAATGCGAGTAATAAATAAAAAAAATCCATTCGTCTCCATTCACTCCTACCTAACACACTCGCACATGCCTGCTGCATGTCCAGGCCCCTTGCACACAAAACCTCTTTTACCCCCTCCCTCCATCCTTCCCTAGGACAACTCCCTACCCCTTCTCCCCTCCACTACAGATTTATACACCCTCCAAGTCATTCTATTTTTCTCCACCCTCTCTAAATGACCAAACCACCTCAATAATACTTTTAGTAACTCCACACCTCTTCCTAATTTCCACACTACGAATTCTCTGCATAATATTTACACCACATATTGCCCTTAGACACAACATTTCCACTGCTTCCAGCCTCCTCCTCACTGCAGCATTTACAACTCATGCTTCACAACCAAATAAGTGTTGGTACCACTATACCAGGGGGGGATATAGTGTTGGAGTGGTTGGTACTTTTGTTTAATAAATGTATGAAAGAGGGGAAGGCATCTAGGGATTGGCAGAGAGCATGTATAGTCCCTTTATATAAAGGGAAAGGGGACAAAAGAGATTGTAAAAATTATAGAGGAATAAGTTTACTGAGTATACCAGGAAAAGTGTACGGTAGGGTTATAATTAAAAGAATTAGAGGTAAGACAGAATGTAGGATTGCGGATGAGCAAGGAGGTTTCAGAGTGGGTAGGGGATGTGTAGATCAAGTGTTTACATTGAAGCATATATATGAACAGTATTTAGATAAAGGTAGGGAAGTTTTATTGCATTTATGGATTTAGAAAAGGCATATGATAGAGTGGATAGAGGAGCAATGTGGCAGATGTTGCAGGTATATGGAATAGGTTGTAAGTTACTAAATGCTGTTAAGAGTTTTTATGAGGATAGTGAGGCTCAGGTTAGGGTGTGTAGAAGAAAGGGAGACTACTTCCTGGTAAAAGTAGGTCTTAGACAGGGATGTGTAATGTCTCCATGGTTGCTTAATATATTTATAGATGGGGTTGTAAAAGAAGTAAATGCTAGGGTGTTCGGGAGAGGGGTGGGATTAAATTATGGGGAATCAAATTCAAAATGGAAATTGACACAGTTACTTTTTGCTGATGATACTGTGCTTATGGGAGATTCTAAAGAAAAATTACAAAGGTTAGTGGATGAGTTTGGGAGTGTGTGTAAAGGTAGAAAGTTGAAAGTGAACATAGAAAAGAGTAAGGTGATGAGGGCATCAAATGATTTAGACAAAGAAAAATTGGATATCAAATTGGGGAGGAGGAGTATGGAAGAAGTAAATGTTTTCAGATACAGGTCTCCCTCAACATTCGCGAGGGTTAGGGGATCAAGAGCCTTGCGAATGTTGAAAAACCGTGAATGTTTGGTGCCCCAATATATTGTAGGGAAATATATTACAATACTGCTTCCTTAACTTGTTGAGCCATGAATAATCATAAAATACATGAAAACGTCGTAAATTGTACTAAATATATACATGTTATGCTTTAATAATGTATGTTATTTAATAACATGTATGTTAACAACATGTACGTTATTAAATAACACAGACTCCACCACTGCCTCCACCACTGCGAGTCCCTACTACCCTCCCTCCGGCCCCCGCAACTGGCAGCCAGCCCTACCACCACTCAGTGTGGTGAGTGTTTTGTTTGTTCATTATTTGCTATTAAACTACAGAATAAATAATGTAAACTCATCCATGACTGCATATTGGAATGGCTATTAGGAAAGGTATTAGACGGTGACATCATGTGTTTACTCTTGAACACTGCAAAGAATCGAACATTTCTGCTATTGCTAATAATAACAATAATAATAATAATAATAATAATAATAATAATAATAATAATAATAATAATAATAATAATAATAATAATAATATAATAATAATAATAAATAATAAACACGATATAATTGAAGAAGGAAATTGTACAAAAATACGAGGGAGTGGTTGACACATCGTCAGTGTGACTTTGTTTATGCTGGAGTAAACATTAGTCTCCCTGCTCTTCCAAACATTTCACAATAATTCAGCGGTTGAGGCAGTGGTATTTTAAAAACATATATGTTATAAATAATAATAGTACATGTTATTATTAATAACATGTATTATTATTAACATGTATGTATTTAATAAATACCATTGCCTCAATCACTGCCTCTACCACTCCAGTCACACTCAATCTACAAGCACCAAACACAATGAATTATTGTGAAATGTTTGGAAGAGCAGGGAGACTAATGTTCACTCCAGCATAAACAAAGTCATACTGACGATGTGTCAACCACTCCCTCGTATTTTTGTACAATTTACTTCAATTATATATTTATTATTATTATTATTATTACTACTACTACTACTACTATTGTTATTATTAGCTGTAGCAGAAATGTTTAATTCTTTGCAGTGTTAAAGAGTAAACACATGATGTCACCGTCTAATACCTGTTCGAATAGCCATTCCAATATGCAGTCATGAATGGGTTTACATTATTTATACTGTAGTTTAATAGCAAATAATTAATAAACAAAACACTCACCACACTGAGTGGTGGGAGGGCTGGCTGCCAGTTGCTGGGGTCGGAGGGAGGGTAGTAGGGACTCGCAGGTGGCGGGAAACTTAAATATGATTTGGCGGCTGGGAATTTGGTGGCTGGGAATTTGGCGGTTGGGAATTTACGAATGTGTGAAGCCCGTGAAAGTTGAAAACGTGAATGTTGAGGGAGACCTGTACTTGGGAGTTGACGTGTCGGTGGATGGATTTATGAAGGATGAGGTTAATCATAGAATTGATGAGGGAAAAAAGGTGAGTGCTGCGTTGAGGTATATGTGGAGTCAAAACACGTTATCTATAGAGGCAAAGAAGGGAATGTATGAAAGTATAGTAGTACCAACACTCTTATATGGATGTGAAGCTTGAGTGGTAAATGCAGCAGCGAGGAGACAGTTGGAGGCAGTGGAGATGTCCTGTCTAAGGGCAATGTGTGGTGTAAATATTATGCAGAAAATTCGGAGTGTGGAAATTAGGAAAAGGTGTGGAGTTAATAAAAGCATTAGCCAGAGGGCAGAAGAGGGGTTGTTGAGGTGGTTTGGTCATTTAGAGAGAATGGATCAAAGTAGAATGACATGGAAAGCATATAAATCTATAGGGGAAGGAAGGCGGGGTAGGGGTCGTCCTCGAAAAGGTTGGAGAGAGGGGGTAAAGGAGGTTTTGTGGGCGAGGGGCTTGGACTTCCAGCAAGCGTGCGTGAGCATGTTAGATAGGAGTGAATGGAGACAAATGGTACTTGGGACCTGACGATCTGTTGGAGTATGAGCAGTGAAGGGATTCAGAGAAACCGGTTATTTTCATATAGTTGGACTTGAGTCGTGGAAATGGGAAGTACAATGCCTGCACTTTAAAGGAGGGGTTTGGGATATTGGCAGTTTGGAGGGATATGTTGTGTATCTTTATACGTATATGCTTCTAAACTGTTGTATTCTGAGCACCTTTGCAAAAACAGTGATAATGTGTGAGTGTGGTGAAAGTGTTGAATGATGATGAAAGTATTTTCTTTTTGGGGATTTTCTTTCTTTTTTGGGTCACCCTGCCTCGGTGGGAGATGGCCGACTTGTTTAAAAAAAAAAAAAAACACTATACTCTTGTACATTAACTTCTTTGCCTCCATGGATAACATTTTTTGTCTCTACAGATACTTCAGTTCACCTTTTTTCTTTCATCAATTCTATGGTAGAAAGTTGAAAGTGAACATAGAAAAGAGTAAGGTGATGAGGGTATCAAATGATTTAGATAAAGAAAAATTGGATATCAAATTGGGGAGGAGGAGTATGGAAGAAGTGAATGTTTTCAGATACTTGGGAGTTGACGTGTCGGCGGATGGATTTATGAAGGATGAGGTTAATCATAGAATTGATGAGGGAAAAAAGGTGAGTGGTGCGTTGAGGTATATGTGGAGTCAAAAAACGTTATCTATGGAGGCAAAGAAGGGAATGTATGAAAGTATAGTAGTACCAACACTCTTATATGGATGTGAAGCTTGGGTGGTAAATGCAGCAGCGAGGAGACGGTTTGGAGGCAGTGGAGATGTCCTGTCTAAGGGCAATGTGTGGTGTAAATATTATGCAGAAAATTCGGAGTGTGGAAATTAGGAGAAGGTGTGGAGTTAATAAAAGCATTAGTCAGAGGCAGAAGAGGGGGTTGTTGAGGTGGTTTGGTCATCTAGAGAGAATGGATCAAAGTAGAATGACATGGAAAGCATATAAATCTATAGGGGAAGGAAAGAGGGGTAGGGGTCGTCCTCGAAAGGGTTGGAAAGAGGGGTAAAGGAGGTTTTGTGGGTGAGGGGCTTGGACTTCCAGCAAGCGTGCATGAGCGTGTTAGATAGGAGTAAATGGAGACGAATGATACTTGGGACCTGACGATCTGTTGGAGTGTGAGCAGGGTAATATTTAGTGAAGGGATTCAGGGAAACCGTTATTTTCATATAGTCGGACTTGAGTCCTGGAAATGGGAAGTACAATGCCTGCACTTTAAAGGAGGGGTTTGGGATATTGGCAGTTTGGAGGGATATGTTGTGTATCTCTATACGTATATGCTTCTAAACTGTTGTATTTCTGAGCACCTCTGCAAAAGCAGTGATAATGTGTGAGTGTGGTGAAAGTGTTGAATGATGATGAAAGTATTTTCTTTTTGGGGATTTTCTTTCTTTTTTTTTTTGGGTCACCCTGCCTCGGTGGGAGACGGCCGACTTGTTGAAAAAAAAAAAAAAAAAAAAAAAAAAAAAAAAAAAAAAAAAAAAAATCACTTCTTCCATACTCCCTCCCTCCAATGTAATAATATCCAATTTTTCTTTACCTAACTCGTTTGATATCCTCATCACCCTACTCTTATCTATGTTCACTTTCAACTTCTGTCCATGGTTTCCAAATCAATTGACTCGGTGGATTTTGTACCATATTTCCAGTTAGCCGAACTTGAGTCCTGGAGGTGGGATGTACAATGCCTGCACTTTAAACAAGGAGATTGGGATACTGGTTGTTTGGAGAAACATCTGGACTGTTGTATCTGCATGCCTCTGCAAAAACAGTACTCACCTAGTTGAGGTTGCAGGGGTCAAATCCTAGCTCGTGGCCCCGTGATTATGTACGAATAATGGCGAAAGTCTTGAAGAATGATGAAAGTTTTTTCTTTCTTTTTTGGTCACCCTGTCTCAGTGGGAAACAGCTGAGGTGTTAAAAAAAAATATTCCCAAGTCTGTTAAACTGAGGTACGCTCAATTGAGGGTTTACTAATGTACAAAGTTGCCGTACCTGAGCTCCTGTGTATCTATCATATGTAGCATATCTCGGGACCATGAGTCAAACTGATCATTGTGATATTCTTCCAGCTCCTCACAAAATTCTGCAATGCTGCCTTTAAGCTCTTCATAGCCAGTTAGGTCAGTCAGCAAGGCATCTGCTGTTTTTCCTGTAGAAATACAACACTAATACATACTGCAGTAATCTATTTCTCTATCTCTATTCTTTTTTTTCTTTCTATTTTCTCTACTCTCTCAATAAAAAATACATCTTAAAAATGTTCACTGGTCCTTAAAAAGAAAACATACAGTATATAAAAAGCAATGAACTTACAATACTTTAACATGTAATTAATGTGCTTAGTTTAACAATTAATTTAATTACTCTGAAATTTTTTTATAATAAATGTACAGTTTAATAAAATCTCATATTAGTCTTATCACAGTAACCCTAATTAAAACAGTACTTTGTCAGTGGAATTTTCCCAGTGCACATTAGCCATACTGACCACCCATTACCCCGTTAACTGTTCAAATGTAGATCTACATTTTCATGCGTAGCGCTCCGACCTTGATTTTCTCCATGAGAAAGCATGTAAAAAACGTAGATCTATGTTCAGAGCGCTACACGACCACTCTACATATGGACAGTTAACAGGTTAAATATTGCTCTGTTATTTCCATAGTCTAATTTGTTTGTTTTCCTTGTGAATTTCTGTTGTTTGTTTATTATTATCTTTAAGTACTGAGCACTTAAAGATGATGAAAATATCAAGAGGAATGTTTTGTGTATGGCAGTCCAAAACCAAAGATGGGGGAGCTTCCCAGGGAAACAAATCATACAGTTTGTAACTGTATAAAGTAATGCAACACTAGGAGAAATTCACAATTTAATACAATGTTTATATCATAAAGGCATGCAACACAAATTTTTTTTTTTTGCAACTTAATAAGACAAACATGCTACAGTAATCCTATCATAAGTACACAAAAATAGTGATCTTAATTCAAAGTTCCCCATAAAACAAAAATTAATACAAGAGCCAAACATTCATTATTATTACAGAAACTCACCAATATCAAGAATCTTTGCATGAATTGGTTTGACCCAATAGATATTGCTAACCACTTCAGGAACATTCGTCATTCGTCTAGGTCCACTGACAGATGTATTCCCAAAATCAGCACGTGCTGTTCGAATATAACTGCTAAGTTCACTAAGCAACATTTCTCTCTCAGATACAAGCTCTTTTTGGATGCTTTCACGTTTAATTAGTTCTTTGTATCGCTTAAACTCCTGCATGAGCTGATATGCACTTGAATCCATATTTCGGAGCTGTGCTCTTAGTTTACCAGCAATTCGTTGTTCTGCAGGTTTCAAGGAATTTTCAAATTGACGTACTGCTGCTTGCCACAGTGGTTCAGTGTAGGGGTTGTACTGAACTGGCTTTAAGCCAGAAAATGGCTTGAAAGCCTCTGCAGTTTTGAGCTCCTCCTGTTCACTTAATGATAGAAGTCTTGTGAGTTGCTTATGCAAGGTGCGCAGACTCAATATTTCAGTTAGGCGCTTAGAAACATTCTTGCAGTAATCTGGGGTGAATGGTTTGCCTTCCCACATCTGGTCTGCACCACTTTTCCAAAACATAGAAGTAAGCTTCTGACAAGTGTCAACCCAACGATCACAAACTGTTATGCCTTCTGACAGACTTTTTTCTATTTGATTGTACTGTCCTCCCCACAGATCTTCTTCTCCCAGTTTGCTCTGAGGGAATAACAATAATATCAGCAAATTTGTTTATCAAATATTAAATCAATTAAGATTAACTACAGGGAAAAGACACCAGAATTAATATTTGAAGTAATACAGCCAAGCAATCTTGAATAATATTTAAAACAGAGAATAACTACTCTATTTTTTTAATCAGGTCTGTTACATTCAAACTTAAGCCAATACCTAACCTCCTCTTCATTGCTAATATATATATAGATATATATATGTATATTTTTTTTTTTTTTTTTTTTCAACAAGTCGGCCGTCTCCCACCGAGGCAGGGTGACCCAAAAAAGAAAGAAAATCCCCAAAAAGAAAATACTTTCATCATCATTCAACACTTTCACCACACTCGCACATTATCACTGTTTTTGCAGAGGTGCTCAGAATACAACAGTCTAGAAGCATACACATATAAAGATACACAACATATCCCTCCAAACTGCCAATATCCCAAACCCCTCCTTTAAAGTGCAGGCATTGTACTTCCCATTTCCAGGACTCAAGTCCGACTATATGAAAATAACCGGTTTCCCTGAATCCCTTCACTAAATATTACCCTGCTCACACTCCAACAGATCGTCAGGTCCCAAGTACCATTCGTCTCCATTCACTCCTATCTAACACGCTCAAAACAACAGTGCCCTCTACCTTAATGGAAAAGCACTTGGATCTCAACTGAATGGACTCTGGTTAAATTCCCTGGTAACGTAAGACACTGCACATGCAAGTCTCTTTATACCAATTGCCCATGTTTAGCTAGCAGTAAATACATAGCTATCTTCTTATTCTTTTTAGTAATTATTACAGGAAAAGGGGTTACTAGCCCATTGTTCCTGGCATTTTAGATGACTTTTACAACATGCATGGCGTACGGAGGAAAGATTCTCATTCCACCTCCCCATGGATATAAAAGGAAAAGTAATTAGAACAAGAACTAAGATAAAATCAAAGAAAACTCAGATGAGTGTGTATAAATAAATGTGTACATGTATGTTTAGTGTGACCTAAGTGTAAGTAGAAGTAGCAAGACGTACCTGTAATCTTGCATATTTATGAGACAGACAAAAGACACCAGCAATCCTACCATCATGTAAAACAATTACAGGCTTTCATTTTACACTCACTTGGCAGAATGGTAGGGGCAGGAGGAAGGGGGTAAAGGAGGTGTTGTGGACGAGGGGTTTGGACTTCCAGCACGCGTGCATGAGCGTGTTAGATAGGAGTGAATGGAGACAAATGGTATTTGGGACCTGACAAGCTGTTGGAGTGTGAGCAGGGTAATATTTAGTGAAGGGATTCAGGGAAACCGGTTATTTTATATAACCGGACTTGAGTCCTGGAAATGGGAAGTACAATGCCTGCACTCTAAAGGAGGGGTTTGGGATATTGGCAGTTTGGAGGGATATATTGTGTATTTTTATACATATATACTTATATACATATATATACATATACAGTGGACCCCCGCATAACGATGGCATCACATAGCGATTATTTCGCATACCGCTTACTTTAATCGCAAAATTTTTGCCGCGCATAACCGATTAAAAACCCGCTCACCGATTTTCGTCCGAGACGCGTCCAATGTGCGCCCTCAGCCAGCCTCACATGTGCCGCCCGTGCCATTGTTTACCAGCCAGCCTCCGCGGTAACATCCAAGCATACACTCGGAATATTTTGTATTATTACAGTGTTTTCGGTGCTGTTTCTGGAAAATAAGTGACCATGGGCCCCAAGAAAGCTTCTAGTGCCAACCGTACACCAATATAAGGGTAAGAATTCCATTGAAAGAAGAAAGAGATCATTGATAAGTATGAAAGTGGAGTGCGTATCGCCGACCTAGTCAGTTGTACAAGAAACCCCAATCAACCATCGCTACAATTGTGGGCACCAAAAAGACAATCAAGGAAGCTGTTCTTGCCAAAGGTTTAACTGTGTTTTCGAAACAAAGATCGCAAGTGATGGAAGATGTTGAGAGACTCTTATTGGTGTGGATAAATGAAAAAACAGCTAGCAGGAGATAGCGTCTCTCAAGCGATCATATGTGAAAAGGCTAGGAAGTTGCATGAGGATTTAATTAAAAAAATGCCTGCAACTAGTGATGATGTGAGTGAATTTAAGGCCAGCAAAGGTTGGTTTGAGAGATTAAGAAGCGTAGTGGCATCCATAGTGTGATAAGGCATGGTGAGGCTGCCAGTTCGGACCACAAAGCGGCTGAAAAATATGTGCAGGAATTCAAGGAGTACATAGAAACTGAAGGACTGAAACCTGAACAAGTGTTTAATTGTGATGAAACAGGCCTGTTCTGGAAGAAAATGCCAAGCATGGACCTACATTACTCAGGAGGAAAAGGCACTCCCAGGACATAAGCCTATGAAAGACAGGCTTACTCTTCTCATGTGTGCCAATGCTACTGGTGATTGCAAAGTGAAGCCTTTATTAGTGTATCACTCTGAAACTCCAGAGCGTTCAGGCAAAAGAATGTCCTCAAGGATAATTTGTGTGTGCTGTGGAGGGCAAACAGTAAGGCATGGGTCACTAGGGAATTTTTCTATAACTGGTTACACCATGCATTTGCCCCCAATGTGAAAGATTACCTAACTGAAAAGAAATTAGAACTTAAGTGCCTCCTGGTGTTAGACAATGCCCCTGGTCATCCTACAGACGTGGCAGAGCGACTTTATGGGGACATGAGCTTCATTAAGGTGAAGTTTTTGCCTCCTAATACCACTCCTCTCCTGCAGCCCATGGACCAGCAGGTTATTTCCAACTTCAAGAAACTGTACACAAAAGCTCTGTTTGAAAGGTGCTTTGTAATGACCTCAGAAACTCAACTGACTCTAAGAGAGTTTGGGAGAGATCACTTTAATATCCTCAATTGTGTAAACCTTATAGGTAAGGCTTGGGAGGAAGTGACTAAGAGGACCTTGAACTCTGCTTGGAAGAAACTGTGGCCAGAATGTGTAAGACAAAAGGGATTTTGAAGGGTTTGAGGCTAACCCTGAGAGGATTATGCCAGTTGAGGAATCCATTGTGGCATTGGGAAAGTCCTTGGGGTTGGAGGTTGTGGGGAGGATGTGGAAGAGTTGGTGGAGGAGGACAATGAAGAACTAACCACTGATGAGCTGATAGATCAACTTCAGAGCAAGAGGCCAGACCTGGGGAAACTGGTTCAGAGGAGGGGAGAGAGAAATTGAAGAAGTTGCCTACTACAAAGATAAAGGAAATCTGTGCAAAGTGGCTTGAAGTGCAAACCTTCATGGATGAAAATCACCCTCACACAGCTATTGCAAGCCGTGTTGGCAACCTGTACACTGACAATGTTGTGAAACACTTTAGGGAAGTGATAAAGGAACGAGAGGTACAGGGCCACTATGGACAGATATCTTGTGCGGAAAGAAGTCCAGTGACTCTGAAGCTGGCCCTAGTGGCATTAAAAGAAGAAGGGAAGTAACCCCAGAAAAGGACTTGCTACCTCAAGTCCTAATGGAAGGGATTCCCCTTCTAAACAGTAAGAAGATAATGCTCTCCCCTCCTCCCATCCCATCAATCATCACCAGATCTTCAATAAAAGTAAGTGTCATGTAAGTGTGCATGCCTTTTCAGTTTGTGTGTATTAAAATTAATATTTCATGTGGTAAAAAAAAATTTTTTTCATACTTTTGGGTGTCTTGCACGGATTAATTTTATTTCCATTATTTCTTATGGGGAAAATTCATTCACATAACGATTATTTCGCATAACAATTACCCCTCTTGCACGGATTAAAATCGTTAACCGGGGGTCCACTGTATATACATTATATACATTTTTTTTTTTTTTTTTTTTCAACAAGTCGGCCGTCTCCCACCGAGGCAGGGTGACCCAAAAAAGAAAGAAAATCCCCAAAAAGAAAATACTTTCATCATCATTCAACACTTTCACCACACTCGCACATTATCACTGTTTTTGCAGAGGTGCTCAGAATACAACAGTCTAGAAGCATACACATATAAAGATACACAACATATCCCTCCAAACTGCCAATATCCCAAACCCCTCCTTTAAAGTGCAGGCATTGTATTTCCCATTTCCAGGACTCAAGTCCGACTATATGAAAATAACCGGTTTCCCTGAATCCCTTCACTAAATATTACCCTGCTCACACTCCAACAGATCGTCAGGTCCCAAGTACCATTCGTCTCCATTCACTCCTATCTAACACGCTCACGCACGCAGAAGTGTTATAAGAAGAGCAGAGTATATGGAGAGTAAAAGAAAGGTAAAGAGAGTGGTGAGACAGTGCAAAAGGAGAGCAGATGATAGAGTGGGAGAGGCACTGTCAAGAAATTTTAATGAAAATAAGAAAAAATTTTGGAGTGAGTTAAATAAGTTAGAAAAGCCTAGGGAAAGTATGGATTTGTCAGTTTAAAAACAGAGTAGGGGAGTTAGTAGATGGGGAGATGGGAGGTATTAGGTAGATGGCGAGAATATTTTGAGGAACTTTTAAATGTTATGGAAGAAACAGAGGCAGTAATTTCATGCACTGGTCAGGGAGGTATCCATCTTTTAGGAGTGAAGAAGAGCAGAATGTAAGTGTGGGGAGGTACGTGAGGCATTACGTAAATGAAAGGGGGTAAAGCAGCTGGAACTGATGGGATCATGACAGAAATGTTAAAAGCAGGGGGGGATATAGTGTTGGAGTGGTTGGTACTTTTGTTTAAACCCTTTCAGGGTCCAAGGCCCAAATCTGGAGTCAGCACCAGTGTCAGAATTTTCAAAAAAAAAATTTTTTATTTTTTCTTATGAAATCGTAGAGGAATCTTTTTGTGAAGGTAATAAAACAAAAAGTACGAAATTTGGTGGAAAATTAGACGAAATTATGCTCTCGCGAATTTTGATGTGTCAGCGACATTTACGAATCGGCGATTTTGCCGAATTTGACTCCATTTTAGGCCAATTACATTATTCCAATCAACCAAATTCTTAGCTATTTCACTAGTATTACT